AAAAGATCTGTCGGTTTTCTCTTGATTCTCCAGCAACCCGATCTACAGTCGGCAGTCTCATAAGAAATTAATCCTTCTTCTTTCCTCAAAGGCCAAATACCAATGCTGTTCTTCAGCTCTCAAGATGAACTTAATAAGCAGCTTATCAGGAGAGAACATTGAATGTGGGAGCTAACTATTGCACAGTACTTCAGGCGATTACGACAGTACCCCAGAACACAGTTCTCAAAGCTGTGCAGAAATAAAGGTGGGTTCCGAAGAGATGTCTCAAGTCCCTTCTTTTTCATTAGCATAAACTTTCAATTAATCATGAGAAAGAACCGCAAATAAAGCAAAGCAGACTGGCTTTAGGACACCGTTCTTAAATCCCATGGATTGCAAGAAGGTGGGAGTTGAATTACCATACCTCTGTAGATAAGAACTGCTAAGAACATCTCACCAAAGCAAACTGATCTTGCTCACTGCAGTTAACTGCTGCTCCAGGCTTCCTGCTTTGCAGCCTGGCCAATACCGTATAAAAATTGTTAGTAGAAGGAATACTAAATGTTAAAATGTATTTCAATATTTCTCTGACAGAGAGTCAATACAATTAACACTACATGTACTGTGTATAACTTTGTGAAGCCAAACATGACCGCCGAACTTAAATAATTTCCTGTAATTAGTTAAGCTGAAAAACAAATGGTTAAAATGTCTTACGTGTAATCAGACAAATTTCCTTTCAGAGTTATTATGACTTCTTTGGAAGGAGTGACTCATTGTTTGACGGTTTTTTAAATAGCGGTGCAGCAAAACGCAATTAAGGGCATCAAAACACCAATTAAAATCACAAAACTGAAACATGAAACTGAATTTTATGTTTTAGAAAAGAAAAACATTGAAGACATCAGCTGTTTAAACATGGTCTCATTTAAACCATGGCCATGGTCTTTCTCTGGGTCAACAGTTTTCAATCAGGAATCTTGAGGCCTGCGAGTGACCTCAGATTCTGACAAGGCGTTGCTCAGAAACGAAAGTACAATGTAAAATGTATAAAGTGCGCAACAACACTTAAGTAGTGTTCGGTTTCTTATCTGTCAACATTTTCATCATATCTTTTTACCTGCAATTCTATATCCCATTTTAGCATTTCAAATTTAATAAATATTGTGATTTCTGTTTCATTTCTGTCAGGGGGTTTTAACAGAAATTACTGCCTCAGACAGGGTCTAGAGTCTAAAAAAAACAACAACCCCTGATTGAGATGACACTGCCTTCTGTATTCCAGTGTGTCAGCTTTTTTATTCTGATGTTTGGTTATTAAGGTAAGGAGAAAAAACTACTACTGGATACATACATGTAGAACTGAAATGCAATAAATTGCTTATACTGTACAACTGAAAGAAAAGCTACAGCAGTTAAAGGGATATAGCCACAGACGCCTGCACCAGATTTTTGGAATAAAAAAAAAGGGTAAATGGATAGTGCATTTTGAGAAACCTCAGTGAAGAAAAAGTTGCCTGGCTTGCTTAATAATCAAGGACATGAATTTCTAAATCACTCCGATTAGACCTTAAGGGTCTCAAATATCAAAGAATGCTAGCAAGACAATGCAGGTAAGTCCTGGATGTGTTCCACCTGAGAAATACTTCAAACTCACAATCACAAGACTACTGAAGGAAAGCAGAAGTCCCACTTTTCCATCTGAAGTTCAATCACTCATTCAGTCTAGCTTGGCTCTGACAATGGATCTCAGGCTACATACTGATGTTCAGGCTTGTACATTTTCCACAGGCAAAATGTTCAACCCACAAACTAGCTGCATAAGCTTCAATAGTTTTAAAACACATTGGGAGAGTATAGCATTGTTTAACCTTCTGTTTAAATAAGATTTCTAATAAGATCTGGAAGCACAATAAACTGTGTAAATACCTAAAATTTCCAAAGAGAGACAGGGATCAATTTGATCATTAAAATGTTTCATTATATTACGAGGTTTTAAGTTCCATGACAGAAAATCATTATTTTGTAATTGTTTAAAGCTGAACAAATGAGGATTATAACTCATTTTATAAAAAGGATTGTCATATCGGTAAAAAATCTGAACAGATGTGCTGTGATCATAAAATTGTTCAGCATTTATTAGATCACTGGTGTGTATACATACAGTATACAGTATGTGTATAAAACTGAAACATGGAAATCAGTCCTCTCTGTGCTATGGACTGACACAGAAAAAACATCCCAATTTTATTTGGCATCACTGTGGTTTTTTTTTTGGCAGCAAGACGAACTCCTAAAGGAATATTATGCCTTTAGGATCTGATGATTAAAGAAGTGAGTCAAGATTCCTGCAGCTGCTAAAACTTGTAATTCAATTATCTGTGGAGGTGGTGGTAGATTGATATCTCTTCATCATTTCCATTTTGTACTGTACACATCACTCTGAAGAAATTACATCAGGAAACTCTCTGACCACAGAACATATTCCAGTTATGAACAACTTAAAATCCATCATTGTCCTTACTTGAACAGCTATTCATAGCAATCTTATCTAAAGTTTTTCTGTATTCAACAGATTTTTTCCCTTCCTGTAAATAGTAGTGTAGTGTAACTGCAAATGAAAGTCCTTAAGGAAAATCCAATATCCCCCTAATTTATAAAATAATAACGTCTGTCTTGATGGATGCTTTGAAAAGTATTAATATCTGTCTAAGGTTAATCAAGGCCAAATTCATACAGTACAAGAAAAAGTCAGGGAATAGCTTGGAAGGTCCTGTGGCACTGACAAAACACACACACACACACACACACACACACACACACACACACACACACACACACACACACACACACACGGAATCTCACTTTAGATAAATACACCCCAGAACACTGCATGTAGACACAAGTCACTGACTGTACCTGATAGCTCAAGAGAAGGGTTTAAGAAGTGCTAATCTTTCCAAGCCACAGTGCCAGCTACAGCTGATTGACTTGAGAACACTGAAATAAGCGTCTGGAAAGGAACAGTTTCACTCTCACATATGGGATATCAAACCAAACTCAGTGGTTAGAAAGTTACTTTACTGAGAAATTAAGTATAGTGTGATATCAGGAGCGTTGGGAATTTTACATCCATGCATGCTAACTTTGTAAACATGGGGCGATCCAGAATTAAGTTTCAAAAACATTTCTGAGCTGGTGCCTGGATCACGTCATGAGGCAGCTTTCCTTGGGAGTGTGATTACTAGAGTAGAGAGGGTGCTTCAAACTCTCTGTAAGACAACAGCTCCTAGAGGTTCCAGAGCTCTTGCAGCATGACAAAGGATGAATGTCTCAATGTGTGGGCAGCTCTGTGGATCCTGTCTGTCCACTCTGATTCTCCTTGTGTAGTATAGGACTTATCGCTGTTGGCCAGGATGTAAACAAGACACAGGCAATACTAAATTAAGTGGGTATAAAACATTTTTAACGTGTATTATTGTGTTATTGATACAAAATCTACACAAATAAATTACTAAGTTACAACTTAAAATGACTAAATTACTTACTAAGTAGTGAGACACCCAATAACTGCCATATGCTTTAATTAAATTATTGATCATCACCCTTACCTTTGGTGAGGAGAACAGAGTATGAAGGACTGAACCAAAGTAATCTTCTGGTACTAGTAATTGCAAAAGCATACAGCCCTATGTGTTTATGACAAAAAAACTTGTAATTTATTTTTAAATTAAATTAAGCAGTATTTTTAAATTAAATGAAGCAGTATTCTCAGCATTTTTGCCCATGTACCTCTCACAAGTGATGCACCTTTTACAGCAGTGCAAAACATCAGGTCTGTCAAAGATCCAAAACCTCTTAAAAAATACCAGAACCACTTGTAACACCAATATGTTTTGCCCTTGTTTAATTTACGTGTTTCGTTCGTACGATGTAAAAGCATAAAAGTTAGAAAGCAACGATACTGTACATAACCACGTTTTAAAAAAATTTAAGCAGGCTGAAAGTAAATGTCTGGACACAGGCTTTTGTACGGTGATTGTACATTTAGACTGCTGTAGTTCACCAATCTACGCTATCACACAAAATGAATATACAGTACATAGAACAGAGGTAGCAGGCGATAATTAATATTTCAAAACAGTAAACTTAAGCATGATGAATGAATACACAAAGAGACTTAACCTAAGAAAATCGATCTCCACGCTTTAAAGAATCTCCGTTTGGAAGAACTATTCTTCAAACTGAACCATATCACAGGAAATAAGAACTCTGTTATTACCAAGAATAAAAAGATGATCTTTCTATGATTGATTACAGTTCCATCCAGGGGTTGGATTCATGTATTCATTAACGTTAATGATCTTGATAATGATCTGACCCGATGAGTCTGCTCTGTGATAAACCCTGATTTTACTTACTGTACCTCTTTCATATACTGTACGATCATTCGTTTATTGTCTCCGTAAATATGATGGCTTGTCAACTTCATGAATAGTTTTGATAACATTACATTGTCTGTACGAGTTAGTTATTAGATACTGTAGGCGGTCAGGTGTTCAGGAACAAAGCTTGCGATGTTAATTGTATTAATCGTGTTATTATGAATAAAAAACATCTTATGTCAAAACGTCTTCCTTGCAGATTTTGTTTTTGCATATTTCGTTGTTTGGACCGTACATTCCATATTGAAAACCAACCATCCCAATTAATAATGCACTTTTGCCAAATTCTACATTCTACTTTAAGTTATTCGTGTATGCACATTCTGCGCAAGCAATGCAATTCCACTCAGCCATGGAAAATATGTTGCAAAAAGCCATGACCTATCCTTCCCTCGAAATTACGTAGAAGTGGACGCAACACTCACAGATACAAGCTTACTAAAACTTTTTTTTTGTCCAGTAAACGAGTCTCTTATGTTGCAAATTGCTAGTAGGGTCTACGATATCCACATTATAAGGCAAATGCGTCACTGCAGAAAGAGAAAGCTTAACAACCGCAAGCAGAAACCTCACCTGTTGACGGTTTCCCGCAACACGATTAGTCAGCTGGGCTCGTTCACCTGTCTGGACTCAGTCAAGTTTCCCTCGACACTGCAGCAGCTATCCGGGAGGGTGGAGCCTCGTCGCTGGAACTGTGCCACCAGGTACTGTAGGCATCAGTTATTTCCACAATGCGTATTCCAAGATCTGCCTCAGATCGAATAAAATATCTGAATGTAAATCATGCTGTGTGTTTTAAAGCTCGGAAATTCATCGACACACACTGTAGAAGTGAAAGCACACGTTACTTAACCGCGGAGTTCAAAGTCTCTTTTCCTTACCAGTCTCTCCATTCTCAAACATTAATGAGCCACTCCTCTTCTATGAGTCATAATAAAACCTTTTCACAGTCCATTTCATACCTTTAGTTTCTGCTACAGGAATGCATTAGGTGTGGCTACTTTTTCTTATCTTACAGTTGTGCTAAATTATGTGTGTGGAAACTATGATTTGGTTCAAAAAGGATGTGTTTTGGTTTATATGAGCAGCTACAGTATGTCACCCTGCAACTCACAACTGGAAACCCACTGAAGCTAAGTAAATGTGAGCCTGGCCGGTACATTGATGGGAAACCTCCTGGGAAAAAGGTGTGAGACCAGTAGGGGGTGCTCACCCTGCAATCTGTGATGGACCTAACTCCCCAGTATAGTGATGGAAACCATATACTGTAAAAAAAAGGCACCACCCTTTGGATGAGATGTAAAACCGAGGTCCTGACTCTCTGTGATCATCAAACACCCAGAGTGTTTCACAAAAAGAGTAGAGATATTGTATTACGCTAGTGTCCAAACCAAATTTTCCCCTGAACTTTACCAATCATGGCCTCCTAATAATTCTCATCTATGAACTGGTTTCATTACTCTCTTCTCCTCCCTACTGATAGCTGGTGTGTGGTGAGAGCATACTGGTGCACTTTGGCTGCTGTCGCGTCCAGGTGGGGGCTACACATTGGTAGTGGAGAGGAGTCCTCATTACCTGTACTATAAAATGCTTTATATAAATGTAAGGAATTATTATTTCATTCTGAATACATTAATAATCAAACTCAAATAGTTAGCATTTCTGCAAAAATCTTAATATTGTACCTGATAGAATATTTCAAGTTCTTCCAGTGTTAAGAAGAAATGTTTGCATATTATTTCTATTCACAATGTTCCAGTCATAAATAACTATAAACTCAAGAGGCATGTTTTAACAACGGGATTACCTGGCAATTTTAATGGGTATTTCTTTTTGACGCTGAGCTACTACAGAGTTTCTACCTTTTAGAGTAGTAAGATATTTATGTGGTTGAAAACCAAGAACTAGAGCCCTCATTTCTCCACTGTAAAATCTTTTCAATGAGACCAATGGCAGGAACAAGGTCACATAGCTGCAGTAGGTCAATACAGATCTGCTGCAAGGCTTTACATTACAGATTTACATTTATGGGAGAGTGATAAGAGCCATCATGACATGAACTGTTTTGGGCCAACAGCAGAGGATTGCTGTGTGGGTGACTGGAGAGCTGTGTCTTTGTCAGAATGTGACCCAACTGGAAAACACTTTGTGGTACCATTCTTCCCTGAGCAAAGGGCCGATTAAGAACTGCCAATCAAAACAAAACATGAACCACCAATGAAACAACCTGGACTGTCTTTGGGAGGAAACTGGAGCATTTGGAGAAAAAAAAAATGCAAGAGAAAATATGCAAACTCCACACATACAGGTGCTGTGGTGCCCTGATGTGCATATGTTTTCATTTATTTTAAAACTGATAAGCTTCTGCAACAGGAACAGGTGAACGCAGCAAAACAGCCTGACCATCCTGATGGCAAACCACTCACACCATATACAGCTTCCAATTGCGTGACCAGATTGTTTTTAACACAAAATATTTTGCATTTTGAGATAAACCACAGATATAGGTGGAATTATACTAATTATAAAGCCATTATGTTCCCAGTTCTACTTCCCTTGTGCTGATCTCAAAGATAAAATCACTCTTGGTGGAGATATTTGGCTCCAGCAATTGGTAGAGGGCGATATGAACTTACAGCACATGATCCGGCTGGAATCCAATTACAAGTTGCCGGTTGATAGAATGCTGCCTTGATTGGTGAAAAACACCTTGCTTCAGGGCTGCAAAGCTAAAGGAAAGGACAGCAGAAGGGTATCCTCTCCTCCCAGCCTCCAGACTAACTTCCCTATACCCAAAACTATTGAGATGTAGCTATATATACTGTATAATATGAGTTACAGTATAGTAAAGAATATGAATTTGCATTCACCCTTTCACAATACTGGTGTGCAGACCTCTTTAATTATATTTCTAATTCCTTCTCATGTATACAGTACAAAATCCAGGCTAACAGTAATGGTCAGCTGTTTAGCCTTACCTTATCCCATAATTATTATTCCCAGAATTGATAGCAACTGCTTGCTCGGGATCTACATGTATGTCTACAGTCCTGTATTGAAAAGGCACTTTTCTAAAAAGGACACAATTACCATTCATTTCATCTATCTCTCTATATATTTGCAAGGATAGGTTAGGCCAATGTTAGACATTGTCAGCCTAATCCAGCAGACAGTGAGCTCAAGGAAACAATATGTATGGGATGCCAGTCCATCGCAGGGCACACACACAAATGAAAAAGACAAAGGTCAGCATCACTGTCATTCCAGTGAGCAGTGTACACTTTGTAACCAGATGTACTGTATATCTAAAGCAGAGAAACTCTTCCAAAATAGCTCCTCAAAAAGAAGTCCACATGTTCACATGTACAATTGTAGAGCCACACAAACACAATGAATCACAGGCTTCCGTGACAAGACCAGGGAAAGCAACAACACCTGCAGAGCGATTTATTGACAGAAACATGGTGATTAGAAGACTGAATGGAACTGAGTGGAGGGAAGGTAGCTGAGACAAAGCTTGGGATATTCCCACAGAAAGAGAAGGCAAAAAAAGGCTCGACTGGTTATCTTACCTCATTATTAACATTTTGTAATAGTTTTGTCGACTACTTGTTTAAGATACAGCCACTCAAGATAAAAGCTCCTTTCAGAAAAAAAAACGGTATACACAAGCCAAGAATCTAGCATTTTAAACAACAAAAAAAGGAACTTGATTCCTTGTGCATGGCAGGATTTGTACCAAAACAGCCTAGGATGCTGGATAAAACTGATTTTAGGCATTGAAAGAGGAAAAAGCTGATTGTACAGCATAGAAATGGAACTGGCAGTCTGTGGCCCTATCTGACCACTTTTAGTTGTTTCCTCATTTGGAAGTAAAGAAAGACAGCTGTCTTGCTTTTACAAAGTAGTTGAGAGTCATTGACATGAAAGCTCTTCCTGCCATAGATCCATGAATTTAGAGAGTTGTTTGTGGGCAGGACTTCTGCTAACTGAAGTTATTTTGTAATGACCAGTAAGTGATTGTAAACTTGGTTATATGCAGAAAAGTGATATATGTACAGAGACATTTTTTTTCCTTTATTTTTTAAAGTACACTAAGTTTATGCAAAAAAATGATAAATGTGTGAATATGGGAAAGCTTGGGTTGTAATGGTGTAGCCTGTTCAATTGCTGTTGAAAGGTTTTGAGACGGAAACTGAAAAACTATCGAAACGTTTGAACTGTCCCTCACAGAGTTTCATATACGAATTGTGTAGGCAGTTACTCTGCTGGAGTTAAATTCAAGTGAAGACCACGCACCAGAGCAGATTAGCGTGAGAACTGAGCACTGACAATGTAGTGGCTCATGAATAACGCACAGGGCTACAGGTCAATGGCAAAAGGAATGCAGACTTTACATATTTTAGGTTCCGGGCAGACAGACATTTTTAGCACCTGAAGCTGTATTAGAAAAAGCCCATTTTAATTATACTCACTTAAGAAAACCATTCTTACTGTGATTTACACATTTATGTGTAACACTAGACAGGAAGAAGGAGGACCAGCAATCACTGTAGAAGAAATTATTTAGACAATAGCGCAAGACTTGATAAATGCCTGGTAGATGACATTTATTGCAGACAAGTGCAGAGTGTTACATGTATAGTAGGTAGCAGAAATAAAATATAAATGTAAGATGGAAAACACAGATTCATGAAGCTGCTTATAAAAACATTTATAGGTTAACATAATTTAGATGTTCAAATCTACAGGAGGAGAGAAAGTTGTAAAAAGGTGAATGGAAGATTAGGATGTACTGTGTAGTTTAAAAATTGAGTTTAAATAATGATATTTTATGTAATTTATGTAAAAATTGTACACTGTACTAGTAAGACCTGATTTGGAATAATTGTAATAGTTTTGGTCACCATGTTACAAAAGAGATATTGCTGCTCTGGAGCCAGTCTAGAGAAAAGCTACCTGATACATTCCCAGGTTTAAGGGGATGTCCTACACTGAAAATAATTTTAGTCTTGAACAGAGAAGACTCTCAGGGACTTGATTGAAGTATTCAAAGTTCTCAACCAAATGGGCTTGTTCAGAATCAGTGAAAAACTAACTCGGAGACTCAGAGAAACTACGGGGAACTGTTTTTAATACTGACATCTGGAGGCACTTCTTTACAGGAAGTGTGGTAGAAGCATGGAACATTCCTGCAACCCATTCAAAGTGCTGACGCAGACATCTTGGCTTCTTTCAAGAACTGGCTTGAAAAAGTATGGATCACTCAGAAACTACTAACTTTACGTTCTCACGTGAATACAACTACCGGTCTTCTTTTTTTATGAAAGGAATTCATTCATTTCTTTAATCTGTCAGTAAAAGATGCATGAGATATTCATCAGACTATAAATTAATAATACATAAAAGAACAGTTTCAGAACCCTCCGCAGGTGCAGAACACGGATAATTGTACAGCACCTGTGGATAATTGTTAATTGTCCTTAATCACAGAATATTTTATTTAAAGAAAAACTAGAGTCTGCTGGTACAAGTGGAAAGTTGATTATGTATATAACGGAATATTTAAAGGATCAGTGGTGCATAAAACTGCAACTGATCAAAATTATGTCAAAATCCTATATACAATAAGGAAGAGTACTTGCTTTTTTCTTCAAATGTCTGTGATTTATAAACGAACATGAACAGTTCACAAGAGAATCCAAATCAAACAGTTAAGATATATTGCCCTCTAGTGCAAGAAAGGTGCTGTTACATTAAATGAGTAAGCCATTCTGTGATGTGTTAAAACAGTTTCTCCTCTGTAGGAAACCAATGTCTTTTTTCATTGAAATGAGTGAGATGACAGTGGTCATGGGTGTCACTTCAATAAGAAAACCATCTGCTTCCTAATAATAAGCCACAGATAGACTCCTCAGATGTAGTGAGAGAGGAAAGACGCACAGGAAAGATCCAACATCAATCCGACATCAAAGTGACAACCAAGAAACGACAACAAAAATAATCACATACTCAGAGCAGGAACTTCCACAACTAATGAGAAACATGTAAGAAAGCACAAAGATAAGAAAGTACAATTGAAATGACCTTGTCCTGGAAATTCTGTTTGTACCCCCAAACAAAAAAGTTCTAAATAAGGTCAACGTGAAATGATAAAAATACAAAAATTAAACACATTGTGGTTTTGTAATTAAAATGAATAATTATCTGATATTCTAATATATACATGCATTCAGGAAATACATATTGATATCAAGTCACTTATTTTTCTGTGGTCTTTATTGCACTGAAAGGCATAGACTCAAAGATGATGGCAAAATGTTTTATTGTCTGTTTCTCAGACTATCTCTCTTGATCTCCAAATTGACTACCTCTCAGAGTGAGTTCGCAGTGAAACACGAATTTAAGGTACAAAATTAGGTTTAAAAAATAAAATAATACATTCAGTTATTCACATTGGACGAAGCAGTACTGCAGAGACCATTTGTTGATTTTCTCTATGAGGGACTGATGCGCCTCCAAACAGAGCCAAGGGGCATTTTTCTGGGGTTGTACGTTTCACTTGCCTGGGCGAACCCGGCTCTTGGCGTGCTCTGTACCTGTCGCTCTTGCTCCTGTGGAGAAACCTCCTCCCAGAGGAATCTGCGGGGCCCCTCCTTGCCATAGGGGTCACTGAGGTCAGGGAGGGGGTTGCTGAAAAGGAGGAGGCTGGTGCGGTCCTGGCTGACCTGGCAGGAGCGGTACATCAGGCTGACCAGACGCGACTTCTGCAGGCGCCTCCTCAAGGCTTGGTTGCCCCTCAGACCCTCGGCCGAGGGGGTCTGTACAGAACAGCACACTCCAGCACCACTCATAGCAGAAGCACTATCATCACTTGTCAAGTTCACTAATAGCAGAAGCACTATCATCACTTGTCAAGTTCACTAATAGCAGAAGCACTATCATCACTTGTCAAGTTCACTAATAGCAGAAGCACTATCATCTCTTGTCAAGTTCACCGGCTCACAAATGTAGACTTGTGATCCCTGGTTTCATTTATCAGCCCAGTTTCCCCTGGGGTTTGCCACAAGCGACAAGAAGACGTCCAATAGCTTACTGTTGTAAATCCTGACACAAAGCAACAAGTAATAAATCACAAGATCTGCAATTATTACTTCTAGTTATCGTTCATAGGCTTGATTTACAGTACTGCTTTAAATGCTTTTCAATAGGTTTCCTGAAACCTGAAGTGCCTCTTCTTGACTACCATTTTGAAACAGCTGGAAAACGGTCCACTGATTACATACTTAATAACTTATTTAACAATTTTCTCCTATATGGTTTATTGTTCTGTGACTGGACTAGATATTTATAGGACAACAGCTTCACATGTTAGGGGAGTTATGAAATTATTAGAAAGAGCTTTGTAAATAAAAGGTGTAAATTTAAGCTCATAAACTGTATGATGAACAGTTGAAACAGTTGATACTCAAACTGTATGATGAGTGAGCCTAACAGTGAAACAATGCATCAACCAGCCTGTTTCCTGTTTATCTTAACAGTGTTGGATCAGATAAGACTCCAGGTCAATGACTTTACTGCAAGGGTAAAAATAGAGATGTACTTTTCATTAGTTTTTTAGTTACCTGAAAAGACAGAGGCTCCATTTTCATCAGCTGCAGATTAGACTGCTCTCTGAGAGCTCTCCACAGTGCTTCTCCACTCACCTGATCTGAAAAAGAACATTGTGTTGCTCATGACTACAGTATACTGCAGGAAAGGCAATTGCCTTACAAAGTGCCAAATTTAATTTAAGAATAAGAATTTCGGGGCTACAATAATTAAGCTTATTTGTTTCATTTGAAACTTTTTAATTATTCTGAACATCTTCCCTTCTCAAATCTCGAAATCTGTTTAATTTTATTGTGCTTTATAGGTCAATCCCAAATCAATCAAGAAGAATCAATATTTAGTTTAATATTGACAAACGCCACAAATTGAATGGAAAAAGGACAGCGTCTCTCGTTTTCTTGTGAAGTCAACTGTAGAAAGAACCAAGTAGCCCGAGCTGTTGCCCCAGTGACCAGTTGCTATGACAAATAAGTGAGCAGCTTAAATACTTTCATTTCTCTTCATGCTCGTTAATGTTTAACTGGTGATGGATACGATTCAGTAGCATAAAGTCCTCTTGTAACTTTGCAATACACTATTTAAACAGTGTACTTCTAGTGTCAGTCTCAAGAAATATGGGGCTGTTGCACAATAATAAGAAGAAAATACACAACTGCTCAAAAACGACTTGTCCATAATGGAAGTACTCCAGTATCAGACAGGTAAACGAACCAGAAAGACAGATCAGAGATATTCATTCCTGACATGCACTGGGTTCTGTTCCACCTGAGTTCTTATTTACACAACTGAACCCTTAAATGACCTCACACAAGACTGATCTGAAGCCATTACTTGTTTTCAATTTGAAAACATGTTGGAGTTTGGCTTTTAACTGAAGATCACCAACCTTTGAGTACAAAACCACTTGCAAAGTTCTAACCAAGCTTGTTAATTAAGGATTCGATTACGTAGAAAGCTTGGCTGGAATAAAGGATGGCAGGCGTGTGGATCCCTAGGAGCAGAGTTAAAAAAAAACACACTACCTTCCATGTGCTTCAGAACTCTGAGAACCCTGGGGCTGGGCACCATCTCCAGAGGGGAGGGCCTCAGAAAGTATTCAGCCGTTGCTCGTCCAAACAGCCTGCAGAGAGGAATCGGAAAGAGCTATAGACAGTTAAACAAAACGTCTGGACTGTGAGCAACTGCGCAACACCAGGCTCTTTTGTCTGAAAAATACACCCGTTCGTGTAGGATGTAGGTTGTAATACACAATCTGACTGCATTTGGAAAATAACTTATAATTTGATTGACTGGTCAAAACAGTGATCTAAAAAATGAACTGTCAAACTCGTGTAAATCATCCCTGATTCTGTTTTGCAGCTCTTTTGTGAAACAAAAATAAATATTTGAAAAATCATAACCTACAGTATGTGCCCTCTAGGGGCTGTCCACCTTTGATTCTGCCTAGACCAGAAGATTAGCTGAAATGAACTGATGAACTGAGCCTTTATTGCATTGCTGCTGTTATTTTTTCGCATCTTCAGAAGTCATTCACTTTCACCATAGAGTTCCCTGTAACCAGATACGAGCTGTCTAGCCAGGAGTGACTTGGAAAATGTATTTAGCCTTATACCGAGGGTGTCCAGTTGTGGTCCAGGAGGGCCTGCATCTCTGTAGGCTTTTTAGGTCTATGTGAAGAAGAAACACCTGAGGAGCTTGAAGAATCTGATAAAGTTGTTCAGATAAGCCTTTGACTAGTGGGTTTAGCTTGGGAAGAGTTGGAATAAAAACCCAGAGACCCACCAGCCTTTCAACACATGGACTGAACTTCTTTGCTCTATAGTGAAGGAACTGATCTAATAATATGTGTAATAACCAAGATACTTTGAACAAACAAGGAAGATATCAACATCTTTATGCATGTGTGCATAAGGAACACAACTATGTACATAGATAACCACATAATGATCTGAGTCAATATAGCCAAAATATGCTAGTAGAAAGCTTCAGCTTCTACTTAAGCCAGGATAACTCATTTTGAGACATTTTAACAACACATCCTGAGTACAACACACATGAACAAAAGGCTTAGTAGCTCATATTCCTCAATGACACAGGATCCCACAGGATGCCTTTTAAAGCAAGCTCCGTTTTACCTGTATAAGCATCTTTCAAAGCCTTGCTCCACAGCAGGCTCAGCTGGCAGGCTGTCAGACCGCTGGCTCTGTACTTCTCGTTCACTCTCACAGATTTCACTGTCTTGGAGCCAGAGTCTGGCTGAGACTCCCTGAGGCTGGTTCTCCATGGCTCACAGCAGCTAAACTTTAAAACAATCTGGCAGAAATAACACAGGGCATGTACAGTACTTCTGTCAACAAGTGCACCCCTAAATCATATGAACTGCACTGTGCACCTTGTGGCTGAAACCAGAAAACTGCTAAATTGATGGATTGAACATCTACAGCAGCGACTTATTATTATGAGTTGTGAAATTCTGCCACTAAAATAGTAATTACATTGCACAAATGTTTTGCCTGCTCTCCAGAACTACTCTAGGCTATAATGCATGAATTTAAAAAACAAATAAAAGTGGCCCCCAGGGAATTTCTTAACAACTAAACCATAAGATTAGAAAATGCTGGACTCGGTTTTCTGTTACATTTTCTGATCATCACTAAATTTGAACCTGTGTTAGTGCTAAAGAACCCAGCATAATCCAAAAGATGTTCAGTCCAAATATACAACATAAATCTAAAAGCAGCAAGAAAATAGCTAAGAAACTTTTTCTACACTTTTATAAAATGTATATACTACTGGACTAACACAATGCTTGAAATGAAAGCTTCTTAGACTACTTTGAAGATTAAACTGTGCTGGGAAAGTCTCTGAAAATGTTATTAGTGTTGCTTTTGCCATTCATCTAATAATAGACTGGTGTTAATGACACAAGCCACACAAATGAAGCAAAACCTCATAAACAGACTACACAGTGGTGTGAGGCAGCGCTACAGTTGTTTCTAATGGGCTGTTACTGTTGCAACTGTTGGAGCAGCACTACTGTTTCCTTAATGGCAGTGCTAAATTAAAATCTGCATCTGTTCTAAGACATGAGCTAAACAGTCTGTGTAACAATAACACTAAATGAAAACGGAGTGGCATTTACAGTTTCAAGGGAGTGTTCAAATGAATCCCCCAAATTAACATCTTTATTCAAATTGAAAAGACCATTTCACCACACTTTACATTATTACATCTTTTGAAGCTGAAACGATGAAGCTCTTTTAGGCATTGTACTGCTAATGACACTTCATAAATGCGTAACAATCGACTACCATTCAAATATCCATTAATGAAGCCTTTACGCTTGAAGACAACAAATCATTTTTGATAAAGTTGCTACGAATTTCTTGACAGTTTGTAACTATCTATTGTGACCAGGCTATTAACGCTGTATTACTGCTCTTTTAATATATTGCATGTTATATCAAATGTTTTAGTAACATTTTCAAACATTGTGTTACCAAAGTGAGCATTTATTTTAATCCTACCTGGCAATAATCCTTTGTAAGTAATGCAGATGAGAAGCCAGAAACATGGAACCCTTCTCATCAGTAAAGCTTATAAGACTATTTGAAATCACTTTCCTCCCACTTCAGATTCCAGACAAGCTTGACTTGTCAGCACTTAACCCTTGGTTTTCCCACAGAGGCTTCAATAAATTAGAGGGAGATTTTAAACTAGGTACTACAGTATGTTCCTGTGCCATTTTCCACATGGAGTATGGATCCCCCTGTGGCTTGGCCCTGGTATGGCTCTGGTGGTGGCAGGCTGAGGAATTTACGAGAAAGGGTTGCTGGGCTAAAAAAGACAGGAATCCTCCACTGAGCAGTGAACGCTGCTGTCCGATGGAGGATATATCTTTGTAGAGAGGGAGAGCAATGGGATTGTCCAATTGCATGTTTAATGATTGACACGCTGAGTGTGGGCTCAAAGCTCATCCCTTTAATTCCAAACTGACTTGGGGAGAGTCTTTAATCATTAACTCTGCGTAGCAGGCGGAGTTCAAAACACTTAAAAAGGTAAGAACATTGCATTGACTTGCTGTGAGGTTTTAGAATGATATTTACATTTCTGGGGTTTATGAAGCGAAGGTAAAATAAACTTGCTCTCTACTTGGGTGGCCTGATTTTATTATAAAAAATCGTACTTACACATGCCATGTGTAATCATGCTGAAATATGAAAATGACTTAATTAGCAACTGTTGTACCCAAATATAAGTTTCATAATAGTGTAGGGATAAGGCCTGTTATTTCACTTAGAATTAAGTGATATGAAGTATTTCTAACAATCTCTGTGTGTTTGGACCAAACAGCCTGTTGCCTGTCACAGGAATGTATAATAATGTATATTGTTTCTTTATTAGCCTTATACAATTTCTTGTATTAGGAATTTGTCTTTTCGCATACCCCAAGGATTTTCTCCAAGGAGACACAGACACACAGAAAGGGAGAGAAGTGTGGGGTCAGAGCGCAGGGGTTTGAACCAGCAACCTTCCAGTCATAGACGCATATCCTTAGCCACAGAGCCACCGCTCCGCCCAATGTAGTGTAGTGAATGTAGTGAAAGAGGCCTCTCTTTGTGGTCTGAGCCACACTTTGCTTGTGAGCACATGAGGGAGATGGGCTTATCTTTTAGATAGGGATCTTTCCCAAGACAGTCCATATCTAGTCTCAATATTCCTTTAAGATCGATGTCCACTGCTGGCTCCTGGATATCTGGCAGATTGACATAGGCACATCTGGATATAGTCCTAAAAGTCTCAGTCCGTGGTCATCCAACAAGATGACCAACCAATCAGGAACCTGGAGGGTATGGGAACCCACTCCACCAGGTAACTTCTTGACCAATCACCAACCACATTTCTCTAGAGTTAAAAAGCAGTGCAGCACCTCTAACTGCGCTCCTCTCTCCACTGAGCCACCTTGGCTGACTGACAATAGAACCGTGTGCCTGCTAGACTTGTTGTCCAAACTTTGGGAAGCACTGAGTTCGAGAGTGAGCCCATACGTAAAGACAGAATTCTGCCCGAGGTCTAGCCTGCGGGAGGACCTTGTGACCAGCTGCGCCATGTGTCTGCCTGATCACCTGTGCAGTACGGTTGGACTTTCGTTGACATTACTGAATAGAGTGTTATTCAGCAGTAATTAATTAAGAATAATTCCTTACACTTATATAGTGGACAGTCAAAGCTCTTTACAGGTAATGGGGATGCCCCTCCTTCACCAATGTGCTGCACCCACCTGGGTGGTGTGACAACAGCATCATCTCTTTCGCTCATACTTACACCCAGAACACTCATCACACATCAGCTATCAGTGGGTGTGCCAAGAGTAAGCTCATGCATTTGTTTTCACAGTATTTAGATACTTTTTTAGCCATACTCACATTTTGATTAATAATGTAAGTCTTACCCTTTACAGTGATCCTTGCTCTTGCTTTTCCTTGCTGAGCTCTAAAGTCTCAGGCTCGTAGCTTGACATTTAAAGCAGCGTGCAAGTCTCTGACTGTTCAGTTGTTAACTGACTAGGAGAGAGACAAAGAACTGATTTCATCTGTGAAAATACCTGTGCACGGAGGTATGTTGATCCAAATACTGAGAGCAGGGACAATGTCATTTTCTTCAAACAGACAAATGTCACTGGCTGAGATTTCTAACAGGTCATGATAGAGACACAGGGATTGAAGGATGTATTGCAGATCCTCGAACTTTGAATTCCATAAGTCTGAGCACTACAGCCAAAAAACGTTGGAAATCCTGCGTGTACACTCCAAACTCGGCAACATGGATTGTGCAGCGTTTTGAAACTCTGTACAATTGTTGGAAATAGTGGAAAGTTGAGGTGCCAATCTCACCAGGAAAAAGGTTTTGCAAAAAATGACATTACCAAAGACCCATAACAGTTTGATCTGCACCCTTTAGACCGAGGTTGAGTTCGTTCATTTGCATAGTGATGTCAGATAGAAACATTAGATTTACAACATGCTTTTAATTTCGTATTTCAGGTAGTTTTGTCCTTTTTTTCAGGAAAGACCTACAAAGCAAAGCAAGCCACAACTATCACATGGCTTAGCCAACAAACCTTGCTGTGGAGTGGAATGTCCTTGCACACACTGTCCATCTCTTGAAGTAGAATTTGAAACTGCCTGTGCATCAAGACAACTAAGAAAAGCTTCTTTAACTGTATATATTCCCCATTTGTCAATGGGTTCCCATATTTCTCAACACATTGTGTGATTTTGTCATTTGGTTCTATGGCTTGATTTTTCAATGGCTCTATGGTACTATGGCTCACACAGAAAGCGGTAAAGACACTGCTTTGTTTTCTGTACTTTGCTATGGTTAGATAGACTAATCTTTTTCTGCCTCATCCTTGAAGTGTTTGTCATGTTTTATCTGAAAATGACACTGGGTTCTTAATGTGTGACAGACAATGTTCTCACAATAAAAGAGCACAAACAGCACGGTCTTTATGTTGCGCATGCCACATTCCTCTCTCACAAAAGGGTAACTTGGCTCTCTCGGCACCCATCATTTTGTCCAAAATATTTGACTTTACACGTAGGTGTGAAAAATTTTATGAGCAGCATGGATTGCGAGCTTTCCTGTGAAAAGAACTGACTGGCCAAGATCAAAATAAATCAGTATATAAACCAAGTGAATTGGTTTTTTTTTTCTGCGCCAACTGGGTAGCATGTTATACAGAGTAACAGAACAGAGGAGCGTAGTTTATAGAATTTCTTAACTTAACTTCTTTGTGGTTTATAAGACTGCTATTGCACGAGCTGTTAAAAGTCTCTTTGCATGCCAATAATGGAATGTGTGCAGTAGACTGCCGACACCTGTTTTGTAGGATTTTCAAAGTTACTGACAGCTTTTCTCTACTTACCTGAGGCTATCTGAAGGCACTCTCTAAGTTGGCAGCAAGATTACTTAAGTGACATAACACCTTTCAAAATAACCGATTTCAAATGGTGCTAGAAACTCTGCAGACTCTGAACACCAAAGGAAATCAGTCATCCTGAGAAAGGTCTGAGTTCATGGGCTGCAATGAGTTTCTTCCACCCTGACCCTTAAAAACATTAGATGTACAATTTGCAATCAAAACTTTGCATTCAATATCAGAACGTGCTCTTTTCTGAACTTAAATTAGGGACTGTAAAACCACCTGCATGTACAAGAATGCTTGAATGTGTTTGCTCCTCACGTCACTCTGACATATAAGAACGTCAATATTCATGAACTACGCTTCTTCACAGCAGGGGTGTACAGGAGCAAATGAAAAAAAACAACAGATAAATCAAAAAACATTCTCAAAGCAAAAAAATGTTCAGCTCATCCCCTACACAAAAAGGCTTTTGCATAAATACAAATGCAAATTATTTTTCAATCATGCCTTATAGCACACAAAAGTACAGTACAGGTATGATCTCAAAGGGATCTCCCGTCTACCACACATTAAAAAGGCTCTGACGTTTTCATTCAACATTAGTTCTGCTCTTAGTTCAGAGTTTTGGTGGAGTCTCAGTGCAGCATGGCAACAACAGTAAGTCTATAAACTCCCACCTTTACCTCCAGGGAGTTGTGGCTGCATCTCTCTGGATGTCGAAGGCTGCCTTCTGAGAGTCTCCTGCAGGGTGTCCCCATTCTTCCGCTGCCCTTAACTTCTCCTCATTTTCTGGGAGGTCAGAAATGCCTGTCATAACAGTTTAGCCACAGGCGGTTTGCCCTGAAAAGAAATCTCCGTGCTGCAGTGTGGCACAGAATCTCTGGCAAATGAGGGAACAATGCCTTAGAGGGGCAACTAGGCAGCTCTCGAGAGGGGAAACTCTCTCCACACTTCTGGATTGTTGAAGGGTGTAAGCCTGAACTTCCTTCTTCCCAAAAGTTAAATATATTTCATTTATAACAGGACAGAAAGGAAACAGACTTGATGAGCAATTCAGCTTAAGGTTACCTTATGCTATCTTATAGTTCAGTTCCTATTTCCCGCATGTGGACTTCATTATAAAAAAACAAGGTACTCTTTTTCATCTCTACTATAATTTTTGTTTTATCATCTATTTTTTTGTTCAGACTTTGCTCTAACCTGGTTTTATCTAATGTGATGAAAAAGAATGAAAACAATGACATTTCTGCAAGTGGGCAGTATATTTAAAAATCAGGGACAAGTGTCCTACTGACTTTTAATAAATGGCATTGATGTAAAATATGTATATTAGAAAGACCATTTATGGAATAATCAGAGGGTTCTATTAAAATCCAGGCTCAGTTCAACTTCAGAGAGAAATGTATTTTCTGTGGCTCGATAATCAATTTGGATAAGTTCGGCAAACAGCCTGACTGGGCACTGCAGCTCAGATTAAGTTAGGAAAATCAGGATCTAGGGTCAAGACTGAAAATCAAAACAATAGAATCGAATGCAGAGGAAGATGTCTGCCAGCAAAACATTAAGTATTAATGAAGCCACAGAGCAGATGTGAGAAAAAGGCCAAGACTGAGATCCCCGAAAACAAAGAAAAGACGGACCACACCCTGTTCGAACAACACACATTTCCACAACTGCAAAAAAGCAGAACATGTATACCCAGATTTATCAAAATGAGGACAAACAGAGTCAGTTTCAATTTACACCCACACACATGGATTAAGGGCCGAAGGTTTGACCTGAGTGTTGTGCCTCAGTGTACAGCTGCAATGCTGTATTTTCCATCATGTTTTCCTCTGCACAGCAGTTTTCATCTCAGCTTCGGTGCCTGCAATGCAAATTACTTCACAGCACAGCTGTAGGCCAGTGCTTGAGCCCTTATTCCGGTTTACCTAGATCAAAATTATTACATTACCCTGTATTATGCACAGGTGTTGTAGCAGACTATTGAGAATATGATTTGAAATTGACGTCTTTGAAAAGCCTGCCAGCAGAGATATCCATTTATTTGAAAAACACAAATTAATTCCTGTCTCCCCAAAATATCGTACTGCACTGTCTGTTAGTACTGTATAAATATTGCTGTGTATTATTTAAGGAACAGAACGAATTAAAAATTCCAGTGAAAGATATAAATAAACCTTTGTATACACTATCATTGTTTTTCATGGTCTCAGTTCCTGTACAGAAAACATACATACTTTTTTTAACCCTTGCTAACAATTTCCACATTTTACCTTCTGAAAAGGGAAACCAGTGCCTTCTTTCAGTTACTTCCTAAGAGTGTGGTCGACAAATCAGCCACCTGATAGGTGGCTCAAAATACTATAATTGTCACATGTTTTTGTGGAATCTCAGTGCTTTCTGGGAAGTGGAGTTCTTCTACAAACATAAAGAAAGCTTTAAAGATCAACAAAGCATTTATGCCCCTACAAAATCTGTGAGCAAAATCAAACATTTTTTACTTAATTTAGGCTTCACCGAGAACTTCACGGTGAAGACAGCAATGTAAAATTAATCAGAGAGAAGTGGATATTCAGAAGAAAATAGTACACCACTTTCAAAGGCTGGCCACACCAGATTTTAAATGATTTAGGCATGTTAACAGTCTTTCCACAAAACAGATGATATTGGCAGGCCTTGAGGACTATTACAGCAGCAAATAACCAGGATGGGGTACATACAGCAAATAAAATCATTAGTGATCGTTGTAGAGATTTGAATACTTAACTTCTGGAAATTCACATTAAACTTAAACACTTAAAAACTGGTCACCTAAATGGGGCCAGGTAACCATTGATTTGTGTCTCTACAGTGAGAGTCCCTCCGCAATGAAACAGCCATTTGCAACATCTACTGTATGTTGGCGTTCATGGAGAATTCCTGGTTTCCATTTTTCTCAGGCCTTGGTTTTGTGAGAAGGACACCCACAATGTGAGCTGCCCAACGATAAAGGTAAAGAACATCACAGCTGGCCATCCTTTTGTCCACCTACAGTATCTTTGACACAGGCAGTCCAGCCACTGTAACATACAGAGATAGCACTCCCATCCTGAATGTTTATTGAAATGAAAGCCAACTAGGCTGACTGTAAACATTTGTGCAGAAGGTGGGGTTCCCTTTAACTAGATAGCCACCCAACAGAAATGTTACTCTGTCATAATACAGTGCAAGCAACAAAAAATCTGACATGTTATAAGATATTGGGAAGCACTGCTATAAAACATGGGAAAAAAACAAGTTATCCATATCTAGACATTACCTGTAACATTGTTTAATTTGGATAAATTACTGAAGTAGTACAACACTTATAATGGATTGACTTGCGCTTCTCCTGCTAGTATTTATAAGAAAAGTTCTCCTCAAAGCTATGACAGAGTAATACAGTATGTCATGTTAAGTGTCAATCATTATTTGCAAAACTTTGTGGTTCTTTCTGGTAATTGTTTGATGTTTATCAGATAGCTTTCAAACGAGAGACACCTGGATGGTCCATACCAAATGAAATGGTTTTAAAATCCTTCATTGAAATAATACAATATATCCAGTGTAAAATACATCTTTATTCCTTTTGTCGTCATTCTTAGAAATCAACAAAAAACACCACCACAAAATCACAACTATCCATGATCATCTCTGAAAAACTCGTGTCTGTAAAACAAAAGCAACCTTCACAACAGGGCAAGCACAAGGCTGACGAATCACAGTCAGTCAAATGAGGTTATCAATCACTACAATTCAGTGCAATTCAGAGCAACTGCATATCTAATAATGTCTGGTTAGTGAGGGATTCTAGCACAGGACAAGACCGTCACCTTATTATATGGATCAGGCAGGCAGAAAATTTACAACATTGTTTCTGTAATAAGGGTATCTTGTCTGGTTTCTGATCACAGACAGATCCTGAACAAAGCACAGTGCTGAACTGCGTGACTCAGGTACACCCTTCCAGAATCAACACAGCTACTGTACATAGCTACATCAAAAAGAAAAAAAAAGTATAGTAACTTCTACTATAAGAGCAAAACTGCAGATGTATTGTAACAAATATTCCCGTTTTGGGACCAAGGACCTGAGAAAACAGGCATGAGGATCAAAAAGACAGGCTACGCCCTTAGGTACCGTAAATAACAAAAGGCGTTTATTTATTTTTTTATTACATGATGTTCTTTCTTTGAGAGACACAGAGACAGTGACTGAAAGACACACAGCAACTGGCAAACCCATCTTTCTCAGGCTGGTATCACTAGGCAGTTAGTTCATTTACAGCCACTCAGTCATCCACTTACCTTTAAACAGGGGGTGAAACCACAAGGCTTTGTTCTGTGTATTAGGCTCCCATTACAATGAAATCAAACAGATGGGCAGGACAACGTTATTCCAGTCCAAGTGGGTATTCTGATATCTGACAAATTTCCTTCTGCAGCTCACTCAGACCATACTCGCACTGTTTGGGAGCTGGAGAGTACAATTCTTTCACCCCTCAGCGCTCTCCTACCCCTCACACACTGGCCGTAACTCCACCTATCTGTCACCCCCTAATTGTCCAATACTTACACTAAGCATTTCTCAGACAGACCCCCCTCTACAGTCCATCCGCCTGCTTCATTAACTTCTGCTTAACAAACTGCTTTCCTGGTGGGTACAAAAACCAGCGCACATCCCTGTCACACAACACTGCCTCTTGCTAATTTTTCTTTTCTTTAGTTGAGGAGAAATACAATGTTCAATTGATAAAATATACAGTAGCTGCGAACACCAGGGGTACAAATATTTACTGGAATCACAGTACACTCATCTTCTGGACGATACAAAATTTATATTTGTTCCCTGTAGACTGTAAACTCCTCTTAGGAGCTCCTGCCCTTATGACAGGTGAGAAGGGCCAGATTCCTTAGCATAGAAGAGAATGCAAATACAATACATGAGGTCTTTCCTGACCTTTTAGTGGTCAAGAACAAATGAATCAGTTCTACTTCAGCAATAAGGTGATATGAGAAAACCTTACAGAAAATCAGGTTGGTGCTGTAAGCAGTGTCTGCGGACCAGTAGGTGGTGCTGTTCCCAAGAAAAAATCTTTTCAACTGATCTCAACCAAACTCATCTCAACCAAATAAAACAACATAAAAAGGAAATTTCTAGATTTACCCATGTTATTAAATTTACACATCTTGTTTCAGTATCTGCAACACACATCTGCTGTCTGTATTGACAGAAATTTAGTTTCTTTTTCTTTTTTTTTTGCAAATTCCTGTTTTGTAAAGTATTTTACATGTTTGAAAAAAATATTTACCATTACTTGCTAGTATGTAAACAGTACTGCTGTTTTTTGGAGGGCAATACGTTTCTCTTATCTCTTGATGTGAGAGTGGGGGGCCTTGCGACCAGGCAATATCTTTATAATATCTGACTGATCAGACATTACAAGAAGCAACCTTTAACCGCCTCCCCCTCCATGAATAAAAAGTGGGACATGCCACAGTACCCAACATAGAAAATGGAAAGCACCAACTGGGCTAATGGGGGAAACAATTTAACCAAACACAAGGCCTTACAACCATAGGGAGGAGTCTCTCTGCAGCAAAGCCATTTATTCGCAGACAGAACAGGAATGTGTGTGCATCTACTGTATTATTTTCAGTGCAGGTATAAAATCTGAGTATACACTTACAAATATAATAATTCCTAAAGGACAGTGAGAGAATAACCATAAAATCTACATTTCAATAAACTGAAATCCCAAAATTTCTGGTTCCTGGTTTATTTTCACCCCAAAGGTGAGTTTTAATTGAGTAGAATGGGGCATCCACACAAATATTTTATACTGTAGGAATATATGTATGCAGGATTTACTACATTGATGGGGAGCAAATCAGAGATAATATCTACTCAAAAACAGTATCTTCTGAGAAACAAGCATTGTGAGATTGATAAGGAGATCCTCACAAGGCAAAACACTTCGTTCACAAACCAAATGGCATCTTCTTTAAAAATCCCAAAGTGACAAAAGTATTTAATTGAACTACATCAGTGGGGGGTCCTAAGAAGTGTATCATGTTACCGTGTGAGACAGAACATTTACTGTATACCAACTGACTCACCATGGCTAATGACCAAGCACATTGACTTATCTTTTTAGATATTTTTGCTCCGTTCTCTATTCTCTGCATCTTGCTCCATTTTTAGAAAAGAAAAGTAAAGTAAAAAGTTAAAGCAATGGGTAGTGCCCCATGTTTTCAAAACACTGAAGCTTTTATGAAAAAAAAATGTATTTTAAAACATCGATCTGACAACCAGTAGTGTATATTGGCTTCCTCTTCTTCAAATGTTCTCCATTAAGCTTTACATTCCTGCTTTGGGCACAGCCCACATTTTCTGTCACAAGGTACATATTGTACAGCGATTCTTCAGGGTCAAAAATGGCACTACAGCATACATACAAATTGTCTACAGAGTCTGCATCTGCATTTCTCAGTCTTAAAAAGTGGATTTCAAAGAGTCACTGGTTTTCAAGATTGCAGTCTTGAAGTGGAAGGATTTGAGTGTCATGACTTAGCAGCTGTGCTGCCAAGCAGAGAGCGTTGCTGATAGAAGCCAATTGTGAGTCTGTGTGGGAATGCATTTTCCCCAGGCTGCTCTGAAATCTACTCTTCAGGCCTGTTTGATGCCGACCAGCAAGTGGATCCACCAGTTGGCCTGCACAGTCCAGCCCAGCTGCTCGCAGATATTGATCTGCTGGAGGAAGTGGTCTCGTGCTGACTCCTCGTTCCTGCCCACCTGCAGAGCTTCCGTCAGGTAGCGGATGTCTTCTGAGCAGCAGAGCTCAGGAATGCCCGTAACAGTCATGAGAGAGAAGAGAGTGACCAGCAGACTGGAGTGCGAACGAAGCTCCAGGTATGCCCGGATACACGTGTCCTGCAGGAGAAACAGTCAAGCCAAGAACAGAACAAAATGAGATGGTTACAAAACCAGAGGAGACCACTTAGCCCATCTCCTTCAAATGGTTGCTAGTGATTCTTGAGTCCTCAAGCTACATTGAATAGTTTCTTAAAATGATTCCAGGTTTCAACAATGCTTTTAAGAAGCTTCCCAAGATTCTTTGTGTAAAGCTCTGTCTCCAGTTTTCAGTCTTGAATAGTATATTTAATTTCCTTTTTTTTTTTCTTAGCTCTTAATTTTGAGTTCCCTGTCTCTGGATGTCACTGGATGAAGTTCTCTGGATTGATTAGGTTATTGCATTTATTGCATTTTGGGATATTTCACAGTTGTACCAAGTCCCAATGGAATAAGCTACATTGTGCATGCCTGACAACAAACCTTTTTGCAATTGTGAAGCATTTTTCTTCCTTTTTACCACATTTTACGTTAGAAGTGCTGTTGTATTTAATTTGATACTCCTGTCTCATATACTAGATTCCCAGTTCTTTATGTCACTTGAAACTAATAAGCCATGATTAAAAACTAGGTGATGTACAATACACATGTAATCAAAAGGACACCATAGGACTAGATGGTGTTGCCAACTCTAGGTGAAAAAAGCCCATTTCGGGGTTAATCAATGACATTTCATTTACGTCTTGACCCAGATTTTAACTGTGAGACACACAGTTTTAGAGTATTATCATACACTATATGAAGATGAAACCAGCAGCCTGACTGGCTCCTCACCCTGAATCGCATGAAGTAGAGGCTGGACTTCTTGTTGACTCTGCCCATGACATACAGGAAGTCTGGCGTAAGGACGAAGGGCACTCTCTCCCTGTTCACGCCCAGGAATCGTTTGGTATTCCCCAGGATGTGCCCAAAATCAATGTGAAACAGGTTCCCTTGCAAAGGAAAAAAGGTGCAGTCATCAGTGTCAATCACTGTCCTCTTAGTTATAGCTATAATTTTCAAGATGCATTTTTTTTAATAATAAAAGGAATGAAATGTCCTTCATCCACCATTCACTGATCAGGTACCCAGGAAATAACCTTACTTCAGGATCCTACCATTTCAACAAGCTTTTAATTTTCATTAGATCTAATTCAAGCCCAATCGGTGCTCATTCAGTGCTCAATCCATGTTATAGACTCCAACAAGCATTTCAGGTATGATAAACATTGGTAAAGGCAGGCAGAAAATGTGGATTAGGAAAAAGGTGAATTAAGGTAGATTGTAACGTAAAACAATGATCAAGAGAAATGTAAAGTGATAACACTAAAACTTTAAGAATAAAGCTTCTAACATGCATTATGATAAGTTTATTGTATATTTTCATATATGATTGGTGTTACAATTCATATTAAAAAATGCTTTAATACTGTTCACTCTTTGCATTAATGCAAACATCATTTCAATAGTGACTGTCATTACACAAGTAAGGAATGTTCTTACTCTCACAACAATCTTTGTTTCCCTCTTCAACAGGTCAGCTGAAATCAGTGTCTGGCTTGAGCATTATTTTCTGCAAAAATCTGGTTCTATTTCCACAAGAGAACCACAAGATGGCTCTGTTCTCTTCTATCAATTTATTAACCCCTGAGGTGTGTTATATCTGTCTTTTGAAAATAATTTGGCAACCAACTCTTTTTGTTCATAGAACAATGAACATGCAGTTTTTAATTTTTTTTTCAGTTCTCAAAAGCTGAACAAATCAGACCCCTTTTTGATTTTTTCAAGCTTTTTACAACTTTAGGGCACTGAAAAAAATCTTCACAAGTGAGAGACGATAGAAGCTGAAGAGTTAAAAATAACCATTTTTATAAGTGGTGCACATGAGGCTTATTACGGAGAAAAGAGATGTCTTCAAAGCAATTAAGTCAATTGTTTTTTCAAGAGATGGATTGGAATTTTAAAAATATGCTTGGATTAGATTCACTAGTTATGCTTGGTTAGGAAATCTCCAGTCCTTACCGTGCAACATCTTTCTGAGTATAAGTTCAATACAACACCAATATCACACAAAGGAAAGACCACCAAAAGCCTTGACAAAGCATGTCTTTAATGGCATCAGCATTTATCATTTCATTACACGTGCTCACTGGCCATCTTCTGCAAGCCAGCTACTCAGAGAGGAAATGTATTTGTCACGATTGTAATCCCTCCCCTTTAGGGGCGCTCCGGCTCTTTCACATTTTAGTTGATTTTGTGCACCTGCTCCCTGTTCCAGCCTTCCTACAAAAGCCAGACGCTCACTCTGTTCCGGGCTCTGCATTGGAACACAGACGCCCAGAGGCCCGTCTACCACAGAGTCGCCCTACGTTCACGGCTCGAGGGCATAGGCCTCCTATCAGCGTCCCGAACCAGCCGAGTCCAGGACTTGGAGCGCCTGGTCCCGTTACCCCTTTAATCCCCCTGACCCTTCACCTGATCCCGCTCCAGTTTTTAACTTTGTCATGTCTGTCTTGGATTGGATCACCCGACTCTGGACTTTAGCCTGCACTACATTTCCCTTCGGACTCCCCTTGGACTGTTTGCCTGGACCATGTCCCCCCCCGAGCACCTGCACACCTTGGATATGCCCCCCTGTTTGTCTACCAGCCCAGCCCAGTTCCTCGTCTTCTCCCCTTCCAGATTCTGCTGTCTGCGTAGGGTCCTGAAAGACGCTTCGTAACAGTATTTAACCAAGAGATCCAAATAATTTGGCCAGTGTATTTTCTCTATTTCCTTCCAGTATGCTTGAGGTCAGGATGTATCTTTTGGTGGCATGTGAATGAAAAAGAAAACTCTGGGTTTCTTTTTCCATTTGGAGAAAACTTCGAGATGGTCTTGAATCACCAAACAAGTAATGTGTTGATAGCTATTTTCATTAGTTTTTTTTGTAAATCTGATTAAGTACAGCTACCTCTTTGTATTGAACCTATCATACTGTAGCTATTGATTAAAGTCTAATGCCTTTTTAACTATCAGGAGGTCTTTCAATTGCACATTTCTAGATACTGTAGTCATCTTTTGTCCTTTCAACAGACATTGATAAAAGCAAAAGCATTTGGAATTATTTTACAATAGCTAGCCCTCCTAATCTCTTTCTCAGTTTGCCTTTAAGATTTAGAGTATGTCCTGGAGCTACTGGACTTCAAAACATTAGAGAACCTAGTGCTATTACCTATTAATGAGATAGTATGGAAGCACACATGAAACAAATATTTCATGTGGTATCTCGTAATTATGAGATTGGAAATTGTCTCATAAAGATACGAATGATAATGATGAGTTTATGGACAACCTGTATTACATTGTGCAATAACAGCACCTGAGCTACCAGCAGCTCAGCTGGAACTTTAGGTTTAGTGTTCATGACAATGTCCAGCGCTACAGAATGTGCATGGACTTACTTTCGACTGGGGTTTAGTCATAATGAAACGTTGTAATTTGTATATAATGTGAACACAATCATTATAACCATGAGGGCGCTCACACCCTTAAACAAGACATTTAAAAGTATCGTTTAAACCTATCCTTATACAACTGATTCCACTGCTTAAAACAGAAAGTCAACTAATGACAATATAGGCAATGTGAGACAATTGTGCTATCACGTGATTATCACAAACTAATGGATAATCTACTATCTTGTAATTACAAGATAGTTTACTATCTCATAATAATGAGATAACACTCAAAGTATTTTTTCCCATTGAAGTAAGAGACAAGATATAAAAAGGGTTAACTTAAGTCAGTTCTGCCTGAAAATTAGACTTCTAAGCAACAGGGGTTTATGGCAGGAAAGGGGGTTAACTGATAAGGATTCCAGATGCGAGCAAGGAACCCCCTGGGGGCATAATCTTAAACTGACCATTTGGCCAGGGTCTCTTAACTGGCCAAATACCATGACCCCCCTACCATAACACCGAATGACGTCCGAAGCAGCAAGGAAGGACTATATAACCTAAAAGTTTGTACCGGCACATCGAACAATACTTCGGTTTTGTTGTTTCTTGCAGGAAACAAGACTTCGGCTTAATTGTTCCTTGCATGCAATAAACTCATCTGTTTTACTTCATCTCGGGATCCAGAACCTTATTCTTTCTGTTACAACACCATCATGGCAGCAATGTTCTTTCTTATAATAGTAGTGCTATCATTATTTTAAAAAAATTGTCAGCAAACAAATAAGCTTTTAAAGATCTTCAAAACTGTTTCTCACATTTCATTTGCATTACTAACTGAAAAGTGTTTCTCAGATGAGATGCTGATTTTGTTTCTGCCTAGAAGATTATTTGCAATGCTGTCTGCCAGCAAAAAAAATAATCTGAATGGACATTCAAATAAATAGAATGAAATGAAAGTTTATCAGTGTTGCTCAATAATCATCACAATGAGGAAACAGAACATTAACTTTATTTCTATAAACAACACTTAAATTGAATGTTTTGTGATTTCAATGTTGGGACAAGCAGCAACTCCTATGTTTTACTGTAGTATAACTGTGCAGTAAGTTGTACAGTCATGCTTAGGACTAGTTTAGTTCTTTAAATGATCTCAGCTAAATAATGGAATTTCACAGTGTTTGTTGTGTAAATATCAGTCTTCTGCAAAATCATTGGTATCCTTCCCTGCACAAGGTCACACTAATGTGTTTTTGTGTCCTCCATTCTCTACCTGGTATCACATACATATTGGCCCAATGGCAAACTTGCTCATTCTAATATGGTAGGAACTTCCAGTAATAATCTAAACAGCAAGAAAATGAGAGTCATGCTTAAATACATTAATCAGGTAAAAAATCAAATCAAATAACAGATTTATAAAACAATATGAACTTTATGATGTATAATTGCAAATTATTTTATCCCAATGAAAATGCCACAGCCTGGCCGTACCTTGTTCTGTAATCATGATGTTGTCGTTATGGCGATCACCAATTCCCAGTACATAGGTAGCCACACAGTACCCAGCGCAGGAAGTGACAAACCTCTCCATGGCTTGATAGAGCTGGAGCACGAATGGCAAAAAGAGATGAGAAACGTGGATGAGAAAAACAGCATCTCAAGCTGTACAATGTCGGTGATTTATTAATAAAACAATACTGGGCCTTTTTACAAACGTATGGCTTTTACCAAGAAAATCCACGTTGTTGCACTAATATGATTGGCTTTCACACTTCAGCATGGCTGCTTTAATTATCTAATGCACTCTTCCATTAACACACAAACTCCTCCATAAATTATGATTTATGCTCTGATAGTCTCCTTTTTGTCCATGAGAAGGATATTCACACAAAGATCATCCATTTTAGTGAGAAATATGAAACTATACCACAGAGATGACTGCCTTCACTGCACAATATTGACACTAACACATGTACAGTGAGACACTCCTGCTTGTGTCAGGAAGTCTGAAGAAACTGTTGGAGTTTATTTTATTTAAATCTTTTAAATACAGACTCTGAATAATCTTAGTAGCCTCATTGCTCATGCTGTGTGCTAAGGGTAAACAGATTTAGGTTTTGCTGCTCTCATTATTCCTGGAATAAACCTATCTATTTCTCAAGACCGTCAGCATCATTTTAATAATAAAAAGTGAAGAAAGTATTCCTCTTGAGATTTGGCAAAGATATTGCACATCATTCAAAATCTTTCTGCACTGCCATTCCACAGTTTATGTCCAACTTTTTCAAAGTAGCTTCTCCATTCATTATCTCTGCATGCTGAGAATGATCAATCCACTATGACACCTAAACTGTTTTTCCCTACTGCTGCTACCAAACATTTCATAATTAGTAGAGAAAAACACATTTTAATCTACAGCAACACATTTAAGAAGAAAAGAAAACTTTTTTGTGTTGAAATTATACATGAGACTACATACAGAAGGTACTGTATGGAATTCTGTGTAGGATTACTAATTAGCTCTTTGTCCAGTCACAACACAATATTTTTAAGCCACGAATAGCTGTTTCACTATTATTAAGTCTCTTCTGTATGACTTGGTTGATTTTGACTTCCGATATACAGTACAGTATATACACTTTAGAATAAACAGCTTTCCAGGTTTACTTAGGAGTTGCAATCGCAATGAATTAGAGTGTGAACATTAAGTACTTATAAACATAGATATACTGTATGCAGGTTGATACTAGAGATTAGTAATAGAATAGAAGAAGTGTTACAAATAAAAGGAGGTTACTTAGCCCATTGTGGTCATGTGCAAGGGAATTTAAGAATACCATCGATAGTTTTTTCAAAGGATCCCACCAAATCAGCTTCAACATGATTTGGGAGCTGAGGCTCACACAATACTCTGCATAAAGTGGCTCTAAATCCTCCAGATTGACTTGATAAATGCCTTTCAGGACTTTAAGTATCTGGATCATCTCTACACATAATCTCCTCTGTCCCAGGCAAAAAATTTCAGTTTTCTTAGTCTTAGTTCGACAAGGATGACATTCCCTTCAGAAAAGGAATTGGAATGGCTGTTCTTCCTCTCGCTGCCTCTAGGGCAACAATATCTTTGTTGTGTGTGCGTATATACAATGTTCCAGCTGCATTGTACAGTTTTTAAATTACTTCCTTGGTTTTAAATTCCACACTCCAAGATATTCAAACATTTGTCTCTTCTATAGCGTCCCCTTATTGTCTAATTAAAAAAAGTGAGTCAACATGAACTCTACATAACGATGTACTGTACAACCTCACAAAACATTGAATTAAACGAACTATATGCTAAGTTTTAAGCAATATCTCCCTTCAGTCTACCAGTCTACACTTGCTCTCCTCCAACCCCGATTGACTGATATTACTTTCACACTGGATCATACCTAATAAAACTGTTTTTATTTTAACCTCCCTTTCCCCTCATGTAAATAACTGACATCATCCTGCTTCTACAGGTTCTATTTCATGATTATAACATTTAAAAAGTCTGAAAAACTGTGGAGTTAAAATACAACAGCTCTGCGTAAATTGTATTTGTGCCATATTGTACCCTTTTCATGTTCCACCCTAAGAATTGCATTTATTTTACAGTTAGGAAAGAAATTGACTATACTTATGCTAACAACAGCAGAAAAATAACCATTTACAGTACAGAGAATGGACACATACATTGACTAATTAAGCTCAGAGTACTTCTGAACTATTGGACAGTGATCAGTTGAGCTAGTCTCTAGGGCTGATTGGGTGTTTTTATCCTTTCTTTCCTACTTCATCTTTAGTGATAGCTTGTTGAATTAATGCATGAGGAAGAAAAGACCATGGGGAGGACCACTAAGCAGACTGGATTTATGTAGGATGAGAATGTATACTACTCTTTAGTCCATGATTTCTGTTGAATATGATGAAAAGAGCATTATTATCTTAATTCACCAAGCTGTAGGGCCTTCAATATAACCATCTGTCTCAGTCAACATTCACAACGCCTTTCTGACTCAATGCCAACTGTTTGCTCCTTGGGTGTTGGGTGTTCTGATACACACACATGACAGAATTTGATATACAGTATATACTGTACACTGTATAAATATACATGCTGGAAATATTATATTTCTAACAAAGAAGTGGCAAACGGGAGACCCGTGTCTGTTTTTTGGCCTTCATAAATACATAAAGTAACAAGCTTACAGTTTCCTCTCGTTCACACTTTCCTTTGAGCCACTCCAACAGGGCATCGTTTTTGAAGGCGCCAGTCGTGCCACCTTTATTCCTCTGAATCGTTGCGATCGTGGTGGCGTCTCTCACTATCTCAATCATGCCTGCCCAGAAAACAGAACAGCAGCAGAAATGTGAACCGCTGCAAAAACCGTGGTTTTCACATCTGTTACAGATTTCCTGTACGTTTGCTGTGTACAGTAAATTCGATACCAGTCGTGAGGAATGATGCTTAGATCTGCCAACAGAGTCATGTTTGGCCCTCCTGTCAATCCATACCTGCTGAAAAGGGGGTAACTGGCGTAGGCAGTAAATAAAAATTAAAGTCAAGTAAAGAGATGCCCTAGAAAGGTTTGAGAGAAGAGGAATTCAATATCAGAATCACCTCCTTCCATCTGAGTGCTTTCAGTTTGTGATGATCATTTGATTCTTTGTCTTTATAGTCCCATAACGTGTCCTAGGTAGTGTATGCTGGGAAAATGCCCCCTGTGTGAAATATCCTCAGCCCACCCTCCAAGGATCCCCAGCCAAAATGTTGTGTCTCTTTGCTTTTTTCTTTCAACATGGAATAAACCTTTACCTGTTCCTACACATGCCAACGCAGCTACCTACTCAAACGTCTGTAGTTTTCATTTTATGATCTACTAATTTGGCTTTTTTATTGTTTTTATTTCTCAGAATATGACCCTATTTCACCCTATTCCTTGATGGGTATTACATGTGCACTTTTCAAATCAGTAGGCATAGCCCTTGCTCTAAGAGTTAATGGAAATATCCTAGTTATCCATGAATACAACTTATTGGGACCAGGTTCTCCCAACCCTTTTGTAACTTCAGTCTGTGTTAAGCTGAGATCAATTGAAAAAAAAATAGGATTGTCTGTGGCATGTTATTAACTCCTTCCTTTGTGAGCACCTGAGTAAAATAATGTTTTTTAGAACATTTGCCATAATTATTGTATATCTGGGACACCTACTGTATTCTTTTCCAAAGCTCATGCTTGTCTAACACAAATAAATTCAAATCCAGCTTTCTCCTACAAGTCAGGAAAGCTGTCTGAAGCACTTATACTGCAAGGTGTGAAGGATACAAAGTCCTCTTCCATTTGCAGACTGTTCTTGAGCTCTTAAATGTCATTGGAGTCTATGGGTTGGATGTCCAGGAGACGTTCGTCTGCGAAACCCACTACCATTGAAATAACACCAGGCACAAGATCTGGTAGATGAATGCAAGATCTGTAGAATTTCAGAAATAATGCTATAATGTTGTCTTTTATGGGGTACCGGGGAGAGAGACTGAATACCTTGGGGACCTTTCAAACATGTTACATCAAGCAACACTGGAAGATAGCTGGAAGGCAAGTGCTTAACCAGAGAGCACCACAAAGAATTTTAATATGCAGCTACAGAAGCAGAGAAAGCACACCTAAAAAAAAAAACATTGATTACCTATATTGTATCCAGTGGATATGCATCCATATGGGACCAGATTCAGATCCAGGGATTTCTCTTGCCAGATCGAGTCCATAATTAGCAGGGTCTGTAAAATGCAACAGAGTTACCACAAAACTGACATAACGGAAAGCTTCTGAAAACTTGTAAAAAAAATAATGTTTCAACTGAAAAAAGACTGAAATGCATTCTTTTCCATTAAATAACAGGCATTCTATCCAGACACCAGTCATTATGACCAAACTTATTTGCTTTCAAATTTAGTTAAGCATAACCTGAATTCTAACAGTGCAATACATTTCCTCGTCAGTATGCTGAAGTTTGAGAGTGGTTAAAACATCAGAAATATAATATATCCAATGTGTTGTGACACTTTCTATTTAAGAGGGCCATTCTCTGCATAAGCTATATGTGTACTGTGTGTACATTAATACTGCAAATTGCTTTTAATAGGTTATATTTGCCAGTGAACTTTGTCAATGTAATTATTTTTAAATTAACATAGCAACAAAAATGTTCTGGCACCCTCAAAGGACAGAGAGTGTTTATTCAAGATCAACAGCAGCAAATAAATTGGACAAAATAAGCAATCTGTGCATTAAGTAGAAATCAGAGATGAAAGTGCTCTTGTATTAAACCTTGCTAGAAAAGCAAAATGATCAGTTTGAGTTCACAGGATTAATGCTAGTCATATGTAGACCTGTTGGCTTGGCAACATTGTATTCTGCCCCCTCTCTCATGATTTTACCCATTAAAATGATTGCCCATGAGCCCTGCAGGCTCTCCCACCTGAATGACAAGCATGTCCTGTCGCAGATCGTCGCCATGCTTGAAGATGATGCCGACAGTGTGGTTGGGTGACTCCTCTGATGTCCAGCAAGTGAACTCCAGCCACAGGGGCTTCTTCTTGGAGGCCATTACCTTACATTTCTCCAGCTGTATCTCCAACAAAATACAATGAGATGCTGTCTTGAGCAGGGTCAAACAATTAGCCTAAACTTTGGCTCAAAAACAAAACAATTTCTTCTAGAGTAATGAGAGGAGTGGATAGAAGTACACCAAAAAAATGGACAGCCTTTTAAGCTGTATGAGTTCATCTGCAGGGGTTCTATTACATTTTTTTATGACCATCCTAAGATATCTTTGGCAAAACATTCCTTGCTAGTATTTTTAACACATAATGAAAGAAATGCCAAGGCTTAAAGTAGCCCAAGGACATTACAAATTGTTTTTGAATTGGACACTCTATCCAGTTCAATTGCGAAAAACTAGCTGACTTGGGTAGAAGCAAAAAAGCAAGTACTGGAAACACATCCAATTTAGTACATTACTCTACATATAACTCTAGCACAGTTGCAACACAGGCTAAATGAAAGACGATGGGCAAAATACCTTAAAATCTACTGCTGGACTATTGTGCAGAGATGATAAATTGTTTGGTGGGATGTAACCAAACTAATCTTTAGTGGAAGTCTTTTTTAGTCTTCTCTATTAGTTTCACCACAAAAGCTTTCAACTATTCAAGCATGTTTCACTTTCAGAAGACCTCCTCCCACACACCAATCTTCAAGCCACTCATCATTTAACATGTCAGAGGCACTATAGTCCTGAGCTGAATGTTCAGCACTAACCAGGTTTTCCTTATATTTCTCCAGCTGTATCTCGTTGGAGGAGTCCCACCCTTCACCAGCAGCACCCTACCTTCCCAGTTCCGTTCTAGACTCAGCTGTCTGTGCAACACAATTTGGGAAAATCCTGGGAATAGTTGGCTTACAACATACTGTAGTCCTGGCTGTAACACCTGGATCGTAGCATGTATACCTGCTCAGGGCTGAGTGTCTTTACTAGTTGTCTCTTGAAAACTTAGTAAAGACCCCAGAAGAAATCTTCATAACCATCATTTACGTACTGTGACGTGGACTAATAGGAACAATAAAATCTAAACAAAACAACATACCACAATCTGTCCTGCTATAATGCGAGGGTCATAAGGGACCTGGAAGTTTTGGGGTAGAACGTGGCTTCTCAGCATGTCTTGCAATATTAATGCAGCTGATGAGAAATGCAAAAATCAAGAGAGAAACATTAAACATTTCCAAGCGGAACAACATTGAAAGAAAAACATATTCGGTAAATCCTTAGCATTGACCTACCGTTGGGGGGGAGGTCACTCTTTTCTGAAAAGACCTTCTTGATATCGGTTGCCACTTTGTGAAGGCAGTCCACCATCTGCGCCTGCTTGAGGAACCCATCCAGCATGGCCTGGCCGCACCCCATCAGGTAGGCCTCGAGAATCACGGCAAATCGGTCACGGAAATAGAGGGAACCGGTGACTTCACTGCGCATGTACCAGAAGAAGTAGTGTCCAACTCTCTTGCTCTTTTAAAAGACAGACGGGATGCTTTTAGTGCAAGTCCTAGTGTATATCCACAAGGCGTCCAGTCTTACCCATACTAACATAAATACACAGGAAGCTAAAATATCTATTTCCATTTGTTCCAAACATATTTAGGGCAATTTGGTAAAGCTGTCCTTAAGAAAAGTTCTCCAACTCCTATACATGAATGATTCAATAAAACTAAAATAAAAAAAAAATAGTTACTCTAATTAATTCTATGTTCCATGCATCTGTTTAATATATTCTTAGTTATAGATATATAAGTTAACAGACATGCCAATGTTTCTGAGTAGTATAGGTCCCTTTGGCTTCCAGGGTTTTAGAACCTGCACTTCTGCAATCCAGATTGTGGGCGTTTAATAGCCTGTCACACAATTCCTTCTCATTTAAAAACAAAAACAAGCAGTTTTGAGGCATTCCAAAAATGGTGGCATTGCAATGCAATACTAGTGGAAAGTTATTGAGAAGATACAGGTATTCATAGTAAAGAATACATAAATTCATTACCAATTTGAAAACCATAAAATATTAAGTGAAATCCCTGTAATGTAACAGTGTGTTAATAAGGTTTCTATATCAGTTAAAATCAATTATCAAGTTTTTTTCCAGGAAAAATTTTGAACTAGATCAGTTTCATAGTTCGACCTTGAGCCGATTAATCATTTGTGCTTTTTTATTATTAACATTCAGTGGCAGTATTGGGGTAGTTTTGGTTTAGAGGGAAAATGTCACCTCATCACGTTATGAATTTTAGACATAAGAGACTGAACAATTTTCAAATTAACAGAAGTTGGCTACAGAGGCTGCATTTTAACAATAAATCAAAAACTGGTGGCCAGTTCATTCGTGCAGAAATACATGTCACCCTACTACACTTGTATTGCCTCTAGAACAATGACTTATGTGCTTGAAGTAAGACTGTTGTTTCATAAGAATAATTTGTGACACGGGCTACATTTCACCAAGCAGGCACCAAAATACAGATTAATTTGTAAGAAATTCAATAGCACTGTGCATGGTAAAAGGTAGAGGAGTTTTTAAGCACATCAAGAGTGTACAGTATAAGTGTCTCAAATGCAGGTATCAAGCATTGCCCATTGCAAAACAATGTGACTGAATAGTACTTACAATTGTAAGTAGATTACTATAGACCACCCCATAACCAGATCCCTTCCTCCCAAATTCTGAAAAAGTCCCAGACCATGACAGTAGAAGGCAGGTGAAATATTGTCGATCAGAAATAGAGCCCCAGAGCGGCACAAAAGTAGACAAAGAGACCAACTTTAGCAGCAGCCATGGCAGCTGGTGACAGACCACAAAAGAAAGGTAGCAAAAATTGCAAACCAGCAAGAGTGGAAGCCACATTACCCACAAGAGATGAACAGAGACATTTAGAAGTCAAAAACAGCCATGAAAAGACCGAATGTCGCTATAGATATATAAAAGCTGAAATGAAGAAAAAAAAACCACTTCTGTGAAAAACAACAGCACAGTCCATCTCAGCGGCCCCTCTCAACGGCTCCAGAAATCAAATAAAGAAAATTACAAAAAAGGAACAAAATAAAGTGGGGGAGAACCTGGAAGTGAAGTACAACCAAATTTGCCCAACATCTGACAGGGCCAAGTGAAAGGCAAAGTGGACTCTTCTCACTCAGTTCACTTTCATAGCTATTTTGAACAAAATAACAGTGTGGCATGTTACAGTGGAAAATGGATTTCCCATGATAGGCTGATTGATTGCATGCTGAAAAGAGAAGAAAAGAAACAACGTTTCGGCTGTGTAGAACACTCGAAGAAGGCTCCACATCCGAAACATTGTGTTTCTTTTCTTCTCTTTTCAACATGGAATAAACCTTTACTTGTTCCTCTGAAGCCTATGAATACCTATGTAGCCTATGATGCAGCTACCTACTGATTGACTGCATGGTGAGCACAGAAATCTGTGTTGTCGTGCTGGTCAAGCAGTCAGTCAGCATCCCTGGGAATGATCATTTCATGACCTTATAATTAGGTCCTGGCTGTAGCTGGGATGCCACACTATCTTATATACTGTACTAGGCACTGCAGACAAGAATATGCTTGTACTGTATTTGTGTCTCCCTAACACAAACGCAGATTAAAAACAAACACACACCAGATCACATGATTACTCTGAGTAACATACACACGCAAGACCGAACTTACTCTTAATGCTCTTTGGATGAGGAACCTGGCCAGAAAGCTGTCATGGTATGGTTCCACCTTCAATGTCTGAAAAGGGGAAAGACAGTGTTATGACTTCTACATCTCTGGGAGACAGCAGGAGTGGCAGCTGCTGTCTTTTTCATTTCCATTTCTTTGGAGGAAAATTTTTTAATGAAACCATATTACACAAATTATCACACACATAACTTGATTCAATTTAGCCCACTTAATTAAAAATGGAAAAACAGTCCTGCAACCTCTGAGATTGTCATTTATCAACTAAGGACAAAGGCGTAGATTAAAGCATTATTAATTTATCAATCCCGTTGCTTCTGTTGAAAAGCTGTGGTAAAGATAAAAAAAAATTCTAAGAACCTTCAAGCAGCTTATTCGTTGAAAAGAACTAGAAAAATGTAATATCTCAAAAATATTAAAACACTTTGTAAAACCTTCATCTAAGGTGCATTTTGTCACTTTTTTTGCTGAATCAATTGAAATAGAACAGGAATGCAACTTGATGAAAAATATAGATGAGCAATATGGCACATATTGTTCTTTATGAGCTCCTGATTCGATGGAACAGTCTGAGACAAGTTTGACATACAGTACATACAGTATAAATTTGCCTACCAACGCTACAGATCTTTTGCCATCAAGCTGAAATAATACCTTCTATTCTGGTCCTCACTTCCAGGTTTTATTGCCCCTTGTTTTGCTTAATAGACCTCTTCATTGAACTACTTTATTTTTTTAATTCTTAATTTAATGAAATATGACAATTTAGTCCCATTAAGTTCCCGTTAATAATGATGACCTGGAGAATACCAATCTATACAGCAGGGCATTTGCTGGAGCAATTTGAGTGACGTTTCGTGCTCAAATTTACCACAGCAGCATCCCACCCCAGTTTCAAGCCCATGATCTTTCTTCACAGAACCCTAAATCATTACTCTGCATCGCTACCTGGTGTGATGTTCTGCACTTCTTCATTTGATCTGTGCTTCACAAAATTTGCCATTTGGAAGTCGCTTATGAATCACTTAAGGTAAAATTAGAACTTTGTACAGTCGCAGGGTTGAAAACAATTCATAAGTAATATTCATGAAGTATTTGTTGGATCTGGGGTTCAATTCAATAATGAAGAACTCAGCTGGAACAAAAACCAAGAGACACTGGGCTCTTGGGATGCCCTGCTCTTGATTAAATAAAACCACAGAAATTATATGCAAAACAACATGTCCTTTTGTTTTCTCAAGAACCCATAGACCTCTAATCACAAATTCTTCTTGAAAACAAAAGGGTTCTTCACACATGTCTTCTGACTGTGGGAGAACATACAAACTGCATGCAGATAGCACCCCAGGTCCAGAACTGGACCCAGGGCCCGAGCACTGTGAGGCAGCAATGCTAACAACTGTGTCACTGTGCCGCTCCTCAGGACAACGTTATGATAGTCTTAATTGTTTAAGTGCTTACCACATGGTGTAAAACCTCCAGTTATAATGGGATTATAATTAATACTGGCCAGCAGCCATATCACCCTGCAGCTCACTTCTGGCAGCCCACTGCAGCTAAGCAGGTGTGAGCCTGGTCAGTACCCGGATGAGGTCGAGAGAGTGGGACTGCCCCCAGTGCAACAGCTTTCCCACTTCAAAACGCTCTCCTGCACAGGTTTCTTCATGCAGCTCATCTTCCAAAACAGATGAGCTGCACAAAGTATAGCTGTCATCGACGGACAACCATCACCATCATAATTACTACCATAAGGATTATTATAATATACTATTAGGGAGTCTTGTTTGAATCAAAATACAAATAGCTATGTACTTTGTTACTTTACTTCAGAATTAGATACGTTATAATTATATCTTAGCTTTGGTTACATAGTACATACTGTAAGTACAAATGCACAAAAACACTTTAGAGCATCCTACAGTATGCTGAATGTACCAGAAAATTAACAAAACAAATATTCAGGGATTATAAAAATCAGATGAGTGTCATTAAAAACCTTTTAATGATATGCATCTAAAAATACTGCAAGACATTTTTTATAAAAAGAAAATATGAATAACCAATAAAATAAAACCCACTGAATTATTTCCATAGTCACATTCTCCTAATGCATGTTTATGCTTTTGTTAATATTGCTCTATTCTGTTCAAGGCAAAATTCTATCATACTCTTTTGACACCAGAGATAAGAAGCTCCTAAAGGTATTTGTGATTTCTGCAGTGAAGTTTTTCTGATTGAGGGCTGAAGCTGTAGTGAAGAGCTCAACATCTCTGCCAGACATTCGTATTCGGCACTGTCAGAGTGTTACCAGCAGAAAGGAAATAATGTAATGTCTGTCAGGCTGAAAAAAATGGCTTCTATAATAGATGAATATAAAAATTGCAATAATCTTTCAAAAGTTTATGATGAAACCAATAAAGAACAGGTTTGTTGCCATGGGATATTCAAGAATTGAAAACTTTATGTTGTGCATGTTAATCACAAAGCAAACGTGCTGAAATCAAACCACAGAAATTATATGCAATACAAGATTAACTTTTTTCTTAAAAAACTTTTTCCTACAAGTTGTGGAGAAAACTCCACCGGCACTGAAATTTAACAATAAATAAATAGTTCTGTACATTCGGACAGCCCTTGAATATTAATGTATGATTTACAAGAGAAACAATGAGGGGGATGTGAAACGCAGACAGATACCAGAACCAAGCATTCCTGGGAGTCAAAACATTATCCAGAAAAGGTCAGAGATCAGATATGAGGAGACAGAAAATTACCAGACATGGACTTCATTGCCTTATTTACTGTACCTCAAGAAATATAGCTTTAGGAAAAACAAGTAAACAAGTAGAGTACTGTATGTAAGCTATCTAATTTTAAAAAGTTTATGTTCGGAGGTAGTTTACTGAATAGTTATCACTCCAAGGGAAGCTTGGGCAAGGGGTGTGTGAGATGCCTCTACAGCAGCTGCAGTGCATAAAGTTGAAGAGTTTCCAAATTCCTGTGTCTTGAGAGTTATCTTCCCCACTACACCCTTTTCATCCCTAAGGGTGAAAGCACCCACCACAGAAATGCAGCCAGCCCCCACCCCCCAAGTGACATGTGGTAACTATTACACACAAGCAGCTCCACTACAGGTTGTGGAGAGACGAAACTGCTTTACTAACTGAATTAAGAAGGAACTTTAAGTAGGCTGTATTGTGCAAGCCAAGAGTGAAATTCATACAAGACATTAAGGATCTCATTCCTACTGAAGGAACTTATGACTGTTACGATTTAACAATTAGGTCCTCAGAAACTATTTTACTGTTTTGTACACTCCCGGATCAAGGTCAAGGTTTCTTCAAGGTCTCTTAAGTGGAGGTGTAACTCTACGTGTGATTTAGCAACATGAAAGGGAATAGGGTCTTAGCTGATAAGGGTCTTGGTTAACTGCCCCTAGCTGCCAACTTTTTGACCTTACATGATTAAAAAACAGCTACTGACCAATCATAAATGCATGTTTTTGTATGAAAATTTTGTTCATCTTCAAGAGCCTCATCAAAACATCAAAGCCTGTTGCTGTTCTTAGGAAAGTGAGTGAGAGATGAGGTTAACCTGTTAACTTTGTCTGTCCTCCTTTATTTATGACAGTAAAGAAATATCCAGCTTGGTTTACTGTAAAGTGGTTTACTGAGAATAGGTTCTAACACTACCTCTCATAAAGTGCCATGAGATCTTTCAAGACACAGAAGTCAAGACCTCAGCTTAACATCTCAAACAAATGATGGCACATCCTACAAGACAGCACAGTACACAGTTAATGGGCTTTTAATATTTTCAAGAACCCTTGATTTATGTCTTCCAACATAGCTGTAGAATGCACTGATCCTTACATGATCATGAAACCTATAGCATTAGATGCAGACCTGTTTGGTTTACAAAACATATGTGAACCGCCAATATGTAGTGTTGTATTATCTAATCGATCATACTAATCAGTCCAGTCCAATTGTCAAGACCTCCTCATCAGTGAAATAATATACTCCTCTAAAATTCGTACGGATAAAAGGATCCCAATTTCATACTACAAAATACAGATCTATCAAGAATAAATGTCATCTTAAAATGTCTAAAGGGTTCAATATTAGGCCACCAGAACAGAATTCTTCTCTTTCTGCACAAGGAAGGATTAAGCATTGTGTGAAAAGAACAGAAGCATTTTCCTCAGCAGTGAATATCCATACATATAAAAGCTTGGGTTCTTTACACGCTGTCTTTGAGCCTTTACAATAATGAAGTCAGCCAAGTCAGGATTGGCTGTTGTAAAATAAGTCAAATACAAAGGAAAAGCATTAACCTGTACGAGCTGGAGCAGGTATCTCAGGAGCTCATTGTTTGTCAGTCTCTCCAGCTTCTTAATTGCCATTCGCCTGACCTCCTCATCAGCGTATTTAATGCTGAGCAGTTCCAGAGCAACTGAGATATCCAGATCATGTGGGTCCCAATTGTGCAGAAGCCAGTGGATGTCCCGTACTGTGTCAGGATCACACCAGTTAATGGTACTCAGGAACTGCAGCAGATGGGACCCATACTGAGAACTTTCCTCCCTAAGCCGCTGGAGAATGCCTTTGTGTGACACAGCTGAAGGTTTTGAAGAAACATCATCTTTTGTCAGAGAGGATGATACTGATGACGAGGAAGAAGGAGGTGAGTCCCGACTATGTGGTAGGACAACAGGGAAACTGTATTTGTCTAATATGATGGTGATAGCCATGGAGTTAACCAGGTCTGGATTGGTTGTGGAAGAAAGCTTGTCAGCTTCAAAGGTAAACATTTCCTCTTCTTGTTCAGGAAATGGCCACATGTGGAGAGTGTGTTGCCCTTGTCTGAGGAGACACCTGTGGTCAATTAGCAAGAGGTTCACAAAGTACAAAGCCTTTTCCTTGCCCTTTGGATAGTCTGACAACTTTCCTCCCGCTGGGGGTGACTTATTTTCCTTCGTCGAATTGCCATCGATATAAATTCCATTGATGCTGAACCCCAGTTTTGAACCTCGTGGCAGGTTTTTAAGTAGCATATCAAACTCCAACCACACATTCCAAAGAACTTCATCCTCAAAAGCCTTGGGCACAGACCGGACTGATGACACCACGTTCTTCCCATGAAGGATGAAAGCTTCAACGTAAACGTACTGAGGAGCTTTACCGGGAAACTGAGGGATGTCAAATCCAAGCAACTTTACTCTGAAATTCCTATTGCAATCCCAGAGGGAGATCATCAGGATGTCATCAACTTCTTTGTTGGCCAGAGTGAGATCCCTGTGACTATTGAAAAGCCCAGTGACGCTGTCCACTAATGGCCAGTCCTCTATTCTAACCTCATCCTCTTGGAATGAAAGCACTGGGAGCACAGACAGATGAATTCCCTCTTTGGTTTTAAGGCACTGCCGAACCCAGAGAAAATCAGCCAGTGCCCACTCTCCGGTTAAGAATTCTTCTCTCCCGCAAACCTTAAGCGTCAAGTCAGAGGCTGCATATTCCATAGCCGAACCTCTGTCAGACATCTTCTGCATAAACATTTCAATCAGAGCAGAAGGCCGTTCCTTAAGGTCTGCCTTCACACTCAAGCTCACTCCATTGTAATGGAAAGTAATGGGTATCCTACTGTTAAGCATGGTCTGCTGGTCTTTTGGGAGAGGAACTGAAGCAGTCCAAGGCTCAGTGACATATTCCCTGGGGTTACGGTTACAGAGTTCTATCTTGCGAGGAGATGCAAATTTCCTTCGGGCAAAACTCAACTCATCCAAGCGATCAACAACAGTCTTGTTGAGGTCATGTCCGATCAAGTAGGCAAGGTTACTATGGAAGGTTTTGCCTTGCTCTTTACCTTCAGAAGTGGGTTTCACAAAAATTTTACCCATTTTTATACCTTGTTGGTGCCAGTATCTGACCGCCTCTAAGGTCCTCAGGATCTGATAGTCATCGTAAATTTCACACCAGTCTGGTCCTCTTGTGTAAAGGAGTTGGTAGCACTCAGGGTCGAGGACATGGCAGATGTCTGGGTGATGCCCTTTCTCCTGTGCCTGTACGCAAATGTGAAGTCGGAGTTGGCGCACATTCTCTTGAGCTGGCAGTTGCACGATGAGAACCTCATTGGAGACATTAATTCCTCTCTTTGTTGGCAAAACACAGGCAAAAGTCAGGATGTTATCTGGGACAGAGGCTTGTGGGGAGACTGCCTCAAAAGCAGAACCATTTTCATCTGCAAGATCCAGTGTTCGCTGCATTTCAACGTCTGGATGAAAGGTTAGCCCTGGAAACCGTTCCTGGAAGAGTGAAAGACCACAAACTTTATCTGAGTTCCTTATATACTTTGTTTTCTGCCTCTCTGAATTGTTTAGAGCTAAAGGGAGTCGTGAAGAGAAACAAATATTTTTACAACCATTTTTTAGAGAATTCAAAAACGATTTAAGTTCCGTGATAAGAAATGAAAATACCATATGTAAATATCTTAAACAAACATAAACAGACAGGGTCTGTTTTGAATTTTTTTTTTAGTTGTATCGGGGAAAAGTATGGTTTCAAACATTTTCCAAATTTAAGATCCTTTTGTGCCTGTTTGAAGTAGACTCATGAACAGCTACATGAAAGATATTGTATGCAATGTCCTGTGTGCATGGAGCTTGATTTGTACATGCATAGATAATTAAAAATGATATGAACTATTTCCCACATGAACAGCTTCTAAGAGCCTATTAGAATAATTCAATAAAGGAGAAGCTATTTCTGCACTGTATTATAGAATGTTCCCTGTTCTTTGTGAATTAGACCTTATTGACCAGATTTTCTCAATGTACTACAGAACAAATACACAATTTCAGATGATTGAAATACAAAACCAATTACATTAAGTTGCATTTTATGGAAGCATTTCTTCTGTTATTCCAGTTTTTACGTATTGAAGCCCCAAACTCTGAAGGTAACTCGATAAATGCTTGAAAGTGTAGTTGATAGTGAAAGGATTTTGTAAAAGTGTCCTATTTTAATTTACTAAAAATAATATATACATACAGTATAGGATCATCAACATTAAGCAATTCATAGTTATCTAAAAGTGCTTATCTATATTTGGACTTCAGTCATCAGGACTGAACACATTAACCATATTGTAATAAAGCTCCATACAGTATTTTAGTTCAAAAAATATTTTTGTAACACAACCACACTTAATATTGCACAGTATCTTCCATTGAATAATTTAATTCACATAGTATAAGATCCATAATTGATAGATATTATTATACTGTAATTCTTCTATAATCATTAAAGAATGATTAAAAAAATTAAACAAATCTTAATTCTGAATTATTCCAAATAAATGCCTTGTTACATTGCAAAAATAATACATTTGTAAATTTATAGAAATTAGACTATGAAATTTGTGGTTATTCTTTTGTGTGATCCTAATTTTTCGGGCAACAGGCTTACCTTGCAAAATGTAGTTTCCTAATGCCTTTTCTGTGGCCCAACTGAGTGGAAGTACAGTACCAGTCAGCTGATCCATTCTTGTTTGCCACTCACACCGAGTTTTTTTTAACTTCCTCAATCCCTAGTAAATTATTACCTGAAAGACTAGTTCAACAGAAGAAAAATAACTCCCTACTTCCTTTATTTTATATTGCGTAAAGGTTAATGTCAATGCCATTGTACAATATACTATGTGAGGGCTTGAGAGCTACACAGAATATAGCTTCAAATACAAAAGCTGCAATGATCCTTTTTTGTAGCACAGTTTTATAAGGTCATAGAATACAAGATTTTTAGGACTTCACACTTTTGTTGATTCAGGGCCATTCAGAAATAGCATCCAATACACAGGTACTGTGTATTTGCAGACATATGTATTTAGACAGAGAAAAAACCACAAAGGAAGTAATCTCTAAACTTGTAACTGTAATTGCAACTAACCTATCCCATGATTAAGAGAAGTAGAGATGCAGCTTTAAAAGAAAAGAATAAAAAAGAAACATCCTGTATTAAACTAAATGTTAATTATTAACAACTATGTTTAAAAGTTAATTTAATTAATTGATTTAGTTAATTAATTTAATTTAACTGTTGTTGTACAATACATAATCAATGAAAATACTGTGAAACTGTGAAATCTAAAAAGTTAAGAAAATATCTCAAATCATCAGCAATACAATTTAACAACGAAGAAAGTGGCAGAAAAATAGTTAAGTAATTTTGGTACAACCAAAGAGTGTTGCATTGTCAGTTATCAACAAACACATGATAGAATCTACTTCAACTAATTCCAAGTGTGGGAGACCAGTCAAGGCCACATAACGTGAAAGAACTGTTTTAGCAGCTCAGCAAAATCCTCAGATTACAGCAGAACATTGCACACAATAACAGAAAGAATATTGACTAGAAATTCAAGGGAATAATTCAAAGAGAACTTAATGAGTTGACTATCAATAGGTGAAAATGAAGACGTAAAACCTGTAATGTCCTTTTTCCATGCCCCCAAAAACTACTCCACCATTTTGTGCTGAGTTACAGACCCTGATTCTCCTCTGATCTAAATGGAGGCTTACTTGTCCATCAAGAGGAGCAGGGGGTGGAGCTTAAGATATCTAACATGGCTGTCATAATGTAGTAGTTATTAGTTGTTTTGTAAAATCTGGTTTGTGAGCTGATTCAGCTGGATTTATCTCAGTCTTATTCCTACTAAAACCATTAGTGAGGAATTCTCTAGAAAACAAGAAAATACTTTTGCTATTTTTTGTTAATATTTTGTCCACTTCGTTTGTAAATATTGTATAATTTGTGAGATGGCTACTGTTTCTACCTTTCTTCTGTCACTAGTAACTGTTGAATCGCAGGAGGATCAGTGAGTAATGCAGAATACAGTATCTAGAAACTGTGTAGTCACATTGCCCAGAGTTGCAGAGCTTATTAGGTGATTGTATTCCAGCAGGATCTACTGTAGCAGGAACCATAAGCGTTCTGCACAGTCTACAAAAAGTTTTGGGAAAAAGGGTAAGATTGCAGTTGGCCAGGCCATCTCAGTCCCCACAGTACAGTTGAATCATACCAATATGTTGTGGTTTGCTTTAAAAGCTGCTTTTGAAAAGAGGAAACCAAACTTAAATGCCGATCTCAATGAGGAACGGGAAAAGTCATCTCACAAAGGATGCTAGTAACTGCCTTCAAAATGCAAAAATGAATGGCAAACTAAAGGAAGCAAAAGGTGAGCATAATGTCCTCAATGTACAATAAAAAAAAAATTCATGTCATTTTTTCAATTCACACATGTTATGTATGTAATACTTTCTATCCAACCCAATCTCTGATTTTCTATCTAACCGTAGAACAAGTAAGTGATTGCTTTTCAGTTGTTCTTTCTCAAGTTTTTAACAATTCAAAATAGTTTGTGTCAAATACTGCTAATGTTCCCATTTCCTGTCATTTGTGACTCGGGAAGATTTTTAATAATGAGAATAGTGAGACAGCAAATTAAACATTCTGAAGAGAACATATACTTCTTTGTAAAGAATTGAAAGAAAATGTGTCCTTTAGGTTATTTTCATCCATGAAAAATGAAGCAAAATAAGTGGATTAGGTACCAAATACTGCAAATATTATACCTGAAAAGAAGCTGAGTAGAAAAAAGTGTATTCGTGTATATGTCCTCTCATTTATATGATCAAGCTGTGAACAAAGCGATGACTCAGCTAATAATGAAGGATCCAGTGATTTTTTTTTAATTCAAAGATAACTGAGAAACCAAATCATTCTAAAACAGAAAATCAACAAATGAATTTATTTACACTTCTAAAGAGGCTTTTAATTTCGATGTCTTCAACACAATTTGTTTTCTTTCCACATATATAATAAACACACTGGCTTTGACTTACTGTATAACTATTTTTGGTTCACTGGTGGGATTTTTGTGCTGCTGCAGAAAAAAAAATGATTCACTTGTAAAACAGATGTAAACAAACCCATCAGAAAAATGGAACAACATACCTATATGGAGTACAGTGTTGTGTTTAGTTAGCTTTTGTTGGTATTCTTCCAAGAAGAATAGATTTGCCTTTCCATCGTTAGAATACGGTGTGCACACAGAAGAAATAAAAAAAAAACAATAACAAAAAAATCACGTTGAAACTATTTTCACCATGCAGTTTTTTTCTATTTTTTTCCCAAGGTATTCCATCATGGATGGATTATTTCTCTGACCCTTATTTCAGCTATGTGCACACCTACATTCACAGATTGCTTTCCCCAGAGCTTTCAAGTAAAAGGAACATGCGGGGATCCAGATGGCAAAATTCAATGCACAGGCAAGGATCTGAGTCTGAGGAGAGAAGCTGGCAGACACACAGACAACATGAGCCAATGTGGGATATATTGTGCAAAAAAAATGAGAAGGGACCCTCTTGGCTTTAACCCCTAAAAGCATCAGCCCAGATTGCAAAGAAAACCTACAGCCTAGAGGCCATTGGATTAACTCCTGAATGTAACTAACCATCTGTCCCATGTTCTTGGGCAAAACCAAAAGCTTACCAAAAAAGGTAGCCTTCAGTTCTTCAAAGTGTTGGTTCTTCTTGGTTTCATTCTAGCACATTCAGTATTGTAACCTTTACTGAAGGTCCTCTACATCTGATAATGTAAAAGACTAAGTTGATCCTAGAAGCTCTTTTGGCCAGAAGAGGAGCTTTGAAATGCGTCCATTGTTGACCTGCCCATTCCCACTTGGTGTGACAGCTGAGATTGTCCGACGACAACACAGCTCCGCTGCTGGGGTTGTTGATTCCTGCTGCTGAGATAAGTAAGGAGCTGGGCAGCCCAGATCTAAGAGGACAACAACTGGTTTTACATTGCAATAAAAGAACAATTCTGATCCTTTTGAGACGAGGGCATAGGCTTCAACACGGCGTCCTGACCTACTGAGTCCAGGGCTCGGAGCGCCTTGTCTCTTCAAGCTTTAATTATCCGGGTTCCTACTGTAGTTCCTTTTCCAGTTCGTCTTGGATGGATCTTCCGGCACCTGGACCTTGGACTGCGCCCTGATTTTCCCTATTGGACTTCCTTTGGACTTGTTTGCCTGCGCTCCCCCCATGCACCAGATCACTGTCGTCACCACCCCCAGTGTTTCTGCCTGACCTGATCCTGCTGAGTCTTCCCTGATGTCCCCCTCCAGTCACTTCCAGATTATACCATCTCGAATAGGGTCTTTAAACAATGTATTTCATGGGAGTTGGAACCGGCTCCCATGACAACAAGTGCAAGAAATTCTTTATGCTATTATGACCATTTTTTACTTACTGTTAAAATGCAGTCAAATATTTTAATTATGACTAAGATTATTTAAGAAATAAAAATTCAATAATGGTACTTCCAATGCAAATTGTGGTCTTTGTTCTGATCAGATGCCTTACCAGATCTTTCTTCTGGAGTTTTGCGCAGGACTTTTCTATTACTAGGTAATGAGAAACGGTATCTTTGACAGATCAGAAAGACTCATCCCAAGGTTTCTCCATCGACAAAGTCCCTGTTTCCATTTTTTCAGCCTATAGTGCTGAATCCTGTAGTGGAAACGAGACAAATTCACTAGACCCCTGTTGAAGATGTCTCCCAACAAGAAGAGTCTGAAGCTACATGTCTAGGTCAACACAGAACCAGAAGAAGACGTTGTTGACTGACATGACAACTAAATTGGCTGACAGTTGTTGAAACAGTGTTTTGGCTCACACAGAAGGATCCGTAGCTGAAATGTTGCATTTCTTTTTCCTACTTTTCAGAGTGGAATTAACCTTTTGGTCCTTATTCTGTTGCGATGCAAAAATGCAAGAGCTCTGTGATCTCCGGAGGCTGGTGGAGATTTGCAAAGAGGTGGTGTTTGGAGACCACAGAAGATGACCAAGGAAGGACTGCTGTGGTGAAGAGAAAGGGCAGTGAACAGATCAGAGTTGATGGCAAGCGCAGTTGTCAAGACAGGAACGGACTGGGAGACTGCACTGCCCTGAGGGAAATTGGCTGAAGAGTTGGAGCCACTGGTGTGGTGCTGAGCAGTGTGCTGATATACTCAGGCGAGTCAGGTTCGGGACGGATTTGAAAGTCTTCAGCCAGAGTAAGGCATAAAGAAACTTCTGGAAATGCAGATCATTACTGAGACTTCACTGCTGTAATCCCAAAAGCTCCTCAATGACAGAGCACTGTACCAGTGGCATAACAGGGTTTATATAATGATGATTGATTAGTGAAGCAACCATTAATTGGATGAGGGGGGCTCAGATAATCGGACCAAGTGAGTTCTAATTTCTCCAGCTGGTATACGGTCCCTTGTGGGAAGGCGCCCAGTTTCCAAGGAAACTGAGGGCCGCGAGTTCCTGCGTGCTTAGGCATGATATATATTCAATATAAAACATTAAGATGGCTTCTGACAGCTCACCAATGCATCTCAATTCAGGATTTTTAACTTACATCTTTCATCGATGAATTATTGAAATCGATCAAAGACACATGAAATGCACATTGAC